CGTTTGCGACTGCCGGCTGCCCAGGAAAAAGGACAGCTTGTCTTTCCATTGGGGTGCACAATAAGCTTCAGGCGTTTTCACGAGTGTGCTGGGCGAGGAAGCCCGTCGTCCTGCTTGCATGAACATCCGGTCCTTTATAGCCGTGGGTAGACATCTGGAAGTCAATCCGTGTTTATCTCGTTGGCTTCTGCGTCTGCAACAAATAGTCTCTGAAGCACTCATACGACCTCTGATTGCCTAAGCCGCGAGACATGGTTGTCGCGAGCCACTGGATGCCATTGGCAAACCCGATGCATAGAACCTCAACCCTTACACTCCAGACCCGTGAAACAAGCTCGTTCTACAAAGCCAAACAGATAGATGAGCAGATAAGATGATTGAATTCTCATTGCCAAGGTTGGTCGAGACTTCTGTGATGCCTGTACTGGGCGAGACAGAGCATGGGCCTTGGCCCATAACACAAGCTATTCTGAAGCAGGACCATGTCATGTAAGTGCCAGAAGTAAAATGTAGCAAAAACACAAACTGACTCTATATATATATATGTATGTATTAACAGGTTAACATACATACATACTTACATACATACAAACATACACATACATATATACATAGAGATATATGGTGTACCCCCCTTCCCCCATGGATCCATTTTTTCGGCCTCAGGTACTCGCCATCAAGATTGGCATGATACAGCTTGTATTCATGGGCCCTGGGTTAGGGTATATGGGGTTTCCCACAACAGGGAACCCTAATGTAGTACCCTAAATAATAGGATCCTTATAATAATAAGGTACCCCCATTTTCGGAAACTCTCATATGGTTCGGGCAGCCTTGCAGGCTTCTTTCAGAACAAACCTAACCGACCAAACCGAACGGACAAAAACGAACCGAAAAGACTTTCCTGGAAAAGCTGAAAGATCGTTTCGGGTCTTCAGGTGTTTTCAGTTAGGTTTTTCAGTTAGGTTTGTTCGCCTACGCGTACTCTCAAAAAAGCTGGTAAGGCTTTCCTGTACCCTAGCCTATAACTTAACCCGGGGCCCTTGAACACAGACTGTATCATGCCGCTCTCGACGCCGCATACCTGAGGCCAGAAGAGGTGGATCCATGGGGCCAGATGCACCTACATGTCTTGTTTTGAGATCTTGTATCGTTCATTGAAACTGGAGCTTTCGGCTATTTACAATTATACATGCCTGGTGTTCAAGTCGTCATCGAGGTGCATTAGTCAGTATGAAAGTCATTCGAAATCCACTATTCGCTTACATGTGCTGAACAGTCAGGATTCGCGCAAACATGAAGTCGGTACTTTAGTATAAACGCCTCATGGAGCAGATACTAATGCATGTTCTTACATTAAGTTGATGTCACATTGAAGAATTATACAACAATAGTACATGCATCGCAACTATTATTCGAACACAAGAGAGCAGGTATTGGACCACAGTGTGCGGAAGTCCGTGATGAGAAATGTTTGTATATGCTCCCCCAGAAACCCACCGTTTCCCCACCTCCCCACCCCCCACCCCCGCCGGGATCAACCGTGGAGCCAAATCGACAGCGTACTCTCCTGCCATTTTGGGAGTTTCCGAAAACTGGGGGTACCTTCTTGTGGGATCCTTATAGTAAGGATCCTACTTTGCGGTACTATACTATTTTCGGAAACTCCCATATACAGGCTTGAGCATGTATACGGACTCCGAGCACGCATCTGCTGCTTGACATGCTCAAAATTTCACTTGGGACTGTCCCTGTATGACATAGCTAGTACGTTATGCCCTTTATCTTTGCACACGTTTGATGGTGTGGTGGAAGTTCGCTGCCTTTGCCAACCAAATGGTCTGGTGGATGGTGTCACGTTGAAACTTTGCGGGCTTTTGGCTGTAAGGTTCGTGTTCAACTGGACGAGTGAAGCCGCCAGATACCCCGAAGTGCACCTGAGGTGTGCGGAGATCATGCGCAGAGCGGGTGAGGTTCACAACGATGTCGATGAGGCGATGGGAGCTTGGGGCAGCTTAAATTTGAAAGAATGAACACGCATGGACAGATAAGTTACACTTACAAAGCTCGAACTGCTTGCCCTGTGCTCCAGCTATAACTTGCACCATAAGCCAGATGTTGCGGTTTGATAGGGAACTCTGCCCTGCGAGGCTAATGAGCTGCTGAAGGAGATTGAATCGCCGCCTCTTCAGGCGCGAAGACGTGAATACAATTGACCGGCGAGCTCTGGCAAGACTTCGTGCTCAAATGCCGGACTTCAACATTTACGGCTGTAACCACATGCCTGTGCGGGCTATCCCGGTGGGGCCAGCAGCTGTTAGCAGAACTTCCGAACCTGGGATTTGGAGAGCCACAGCCGCTCGATGGCTTCATATCCCGAAAAGGAAATCATCGTTTGGCGCTACCGCCATGTAAGGCGACGCCATTCGAGGTAGGTGCTGAATCACGCGTCCGTCCGATCAAGTGTGTTTCCATTAAGCTCTGCAACAGCTTCTACTGTTCGTCAAAAAACGGGATCAACCTTGTATTGGCGCAACCTGTTGAAAAAAAACAGCTGTCCTCACCGGAGGTGCTGGAGGTGGGCTTGTTGTTGCGGGCTCCACCGGAGCGGCCAAGCTCGGCGTGGGCCCCTGATGGCTTTGTCCGGCCACTTATATCGCGAACAGACCCAGCAAAACGACCAAACACCTTCATCATAATAGTTATTACCGGGGGTAGAAGCAGGATCACTACCGCTAACGTGAGTTTCATCATAGTCCATCATCAACATCAACATCATTACCATCATCATCATCATCCTCATCATGTTCATGTCTCGTCGTCGCTGGTAGGGTTCTGAGGACTAGAAGCAGTAGTAGCCGTTGTCGTCGCCGTGGCATATAGCAGTCGTTGGCAGTGGCGCCGGTCATGGTCGTAGTGGTAGTGGCAGTCGCAGCATGGTTGTGGTGTCGGCGGTGGTGGTGGTCGTGCTAGTAACTGGTAGTAGAAAGAGTGGCAGCACTAGCGTGGCACACTCGTACTGTAGTAGTAGTAGTAGTAGTAGTAGTAGTAGTAGTAGTAGTAATAGTAGTAGTAGTAGTAGTAGTAGTAGTAGTAGTAGTAGTAGTAGTACTAGTACTAGTAGTAGTAGTAGTAGTAGTAGTAGTAGTAGTAGTAGTAGTAGTAGTAGTAGTAGTAGTGGTAGTGGTAGTGGTAGTGGTACCAGTAGTAGTAGCAGTAGCAGTAGCTGCTGTAGTGGTCGTCGTAGTCGTGGTACTGGTGGTAGTGGTTGCAGTGGCATGGGAGTGGTGGTGGCGGTGGCGGTGCTGGGATGTCAGTGCCTGTGCTGGTGGAAGCGGTGGTGGTAGATGGAGGTCCTGGTCCTGGTGGTGGTGGTCGTCGTCCTGGTAACAGTGGTTCTCGTAGTGGTTTTCGTCGTCAGTGCCCCAAGTATCTATGCTGCGAATACGACCACTAGTACGACTACGACGTGTACGACGGCGACTGCGAGGCCTACTGCGACTACTACAACTACTATCACCATCTCCATCATAATTGCTGTTCCTGTTGGGAGTGCCTATCACGATTACCTACAACTACTACTTTTTCTGTTACTGCAACTGCCACCGCTGCCACTGCCACGACTACCACGACTACGCCTCCTACTACTACTACTACTACTACTACTACTACCACTACTACTTCTACCAATACGTACTACGTGCTACCGTACTACTATTACTACTACCTACTACTACCTACTACTACCTTCCACCACCACCACCACCCTACCAGTACCACTACCACTACCACTACCACTACCACTACCACTACCACTACCACTACCACTACCACTACTACTACTACTACTACTACTACTACCTCCAATACGCACTACGTACTACGTACTACGTACTACTATTACTATTGCCTTCTACTACCTACTGCTATTACTAATATGACTACTACTACTTCTTCTTCCCTCGCAGCAAAGATCCGAGCTTCGCTAAGCGTCCCTTCAGAGGTCGGCGCCAATCGCGCACCCCAAATTATGGGGCCCGGTAAGAACGAGGCTCCGGCACTAGTGCTCGCGAGCCGGTCTGGTACTATAGTGGCTTGCTCCACACATTTGGCGGTGCAATCACAACAGGCTACTGCAAAAGTTTGGGCATGAGTGCCGAGTTGGATGAGTGTCAACTCATCCGTACCCCATTTCATCTATGCCCCATTCGATGCCGGGCAAAGTCAGATGGACCTTATCAGGGCGAACACGTATCCCTGATGCATGGCTTCGGCTGGGAGTGAGGCACACACAGTCAGACGACGATTGTCATCCGACAGCCAGCATCGGCCCCTGTGCAGGTCTGTGTCAGGTGTCAGGGTCCATGAGAGCAGCTGTGTAATGTCCGCAGTCGTATGCGGACCATGGTGCATGATGACCGCGACGACATGATATCTGGCTCGAAAGCTAGTAAGATGCCGCCCCCAGATCGGCACAAAGGCTGAGGTAGAAAACGTGATGGCCTGGCTGTTCTTGACAGCCACCCCATCAAAATTATACCTGGCCAGCTGCATGAAGCACAGTGGAGAAGCCTGACAGAGAGCATGTGGCATGACCTGATTGTTCCATTCATCAATGCAGTCCTGCAGGGACTGGTGTCGGTCTTCCATGTGCAGGATGATGGGAGAATGCAGGCTGCCTGAGTCATCACGTCGTGCCGTGAGTCCCTCCATGCTACTGGATTCCCACACGCCTTGAAGTACGGGCGGTTGCATTCTGCTGAGCACATGAGTCATGAAGGCTGAGACGTCGTGCTGTGAGGATGGCCTCTCCCCGCCGCGCAGCAATTTTGTCCAAGAGTGCAACTTGAAGAGGGTTACAGCAGTTCGGTGGTAGAGGACATCTCTCCACGCCTGCACTTTGGTGCCGAAGATCTGTGTCTCAGGCACCTTCAAGAGCTGGTGACACCAGAGCAGAGTGAAGGCAAATGAGTTAGCATAACAATGCTGCGAGCGACTGATCAGGCAGAGCCTGTGTAGTCCTGCAGCAATTTCTGCACGTCGTTTGCTAGCGAGCTCCTCTTGAGATTGTCTCTCTTGAGTTGCATACCACACAGTTGCAGAGCAGTCAGGTTCGACAGGAACTCCAGGGCTGCCCAAACCTTCTCGACTCCGGTGGCCCTCAAGCCCACTTCCAGAAGAAAAGTCGTGATCTGTTCTGGGTTGGCTGGCAGGCCATTCGTGGCGTTGAACCGGTGGATCACGTCCTTCCCCGTCACTGCCGTGACCAGCATGGCCACTTGACTGATGACTTCCTGGTGTGGGACCGCAGCTTTCGTGTCGTCGGTTTTGAAGGTCTGGCTCTCCGGGCCCCAACGTTGGTATACCCACTTCCCCTCGGCATTCAGCCAGCCTTTGGTCTGGGCCTGGGTCTCCTCCTCGTTTTCCGAGGTCATCGTCTGCAGACAAGTGAGTAGAGTTTGGAACAGGGTGCTTAGCAGAACAGCTCGAAGGGGTGCTTCCATGAACTTGGTCTGCGAGGCTTCGAGATAGGTGGAGGCAGTTTTGAACAGGATCGGCATGGCCCCTGTCTGCCCCGGCTTCAGGTAAAGCGTCCAGGCCGAGTTCTGCTTCAGCACCTGCAGTTGTGTCTTCTGACGGATTACCAGTCTGCCCATGGCCTTGATCAAAGCAACTTGCTTGTCCTGGTGGGCCGGCGCTTGTCGATCTTGGAGTGCTTGTGAGGCCTCTCGTTCTCTGATGGAGCCTCGTCCATCAAGAGACTGCTGAGCCGGCTGGCTGCCTCCTGTGCGACCGGCCCGAAGATCTCGTGAATCTGTTGATCCGCCATGGTGTGATGCAGCCAGGAAACTGATGCAGAATTGCCACAAGACTGTACACTGTGAATTGTGTGCTCGTGGCTGGGCAAGGATGGCTTTACAGAAGTGACACGGGGATTTGCACCTAGGGTACGATCGACACATTTTGGTAGCAGCATCATGTTGGGTTTGGAAGAGTCCTTCATGTGTCTGACGATAATGTAGTTTCATGGCCTTATGGGAAGCTATCCGTTGTCCACAGACCAGGCAGCGCTGTGTTGCATATGGAACATGGCTCGGGTCCTGGAGGCTCTCAGGGTGCTGCTTGGCTATGTAGAGCTGAGCGGAGGGTGTATGTGACTCCGCAGACCGGACGGGCGCATTGCGAAATGTTCGGGTCTGGCACCTGGAGCACCCCCGACTCAGTTGGCGGCTGAAGACTGGTTTCCACCTGTTGCCACCACGGATCATCAGGGCCACAAATCAGGGGATCCATACTAGTGTACTAAGTCTGGCCATGGTGGCTCATGGAACAGTGCAGGCCTTTGTGAAGTTGGCACAATCGGCTCGGCCGGCGTGGGCAGCAGAGTGTGTTTCACCGCAGAGTAGTTACCCTCCACATGTCTTTGCAGAAGTTGCCAAGTGGGAAACTGTTTTCCGCATGAATGTCGGAATTGGTTGTGAAACTGAGGTGGGCCGGGCTCCTGAGAATGGCTCGGAGCTGTTTGATCACGGCAGTCTCCAAAGTCTTATGGCCTGAGGGCGTAAGGCCACACGCTGGCAAGGCATAAGAGATGCTACTCCAGACACAAGATTTCCATAGGTCGATTCTCTGAGCAGCAGTCAGATGATGGCGTCCTTTGAGCACTGAACCCAGTCGGTGGTAGGTGGCAGTGCGTTTCTCCAGTCGACACTACTAGCACTACTACTACTACTACTACTACCACTACTGCCACTGCCACTGCCACTACCACTACCACTATTACTACTACCACCACCACGACTACTACTACTACTACTACTGCTACTACTACTACTATGAGTATCACTACTGCTGCTGTTGCTGCTACTACAACTACTACTCCTCCTGCTCCTGCTCCTGCTCGCTGCTACTGCTACTTTTCAACACATAATGGCAAGAATAGTAAAATTTCAAAGGAGAATGCCTACGAGGATTTAATGTTGACGCTAACCCTCTCATTAATCGGCCTTGTCCGTACTTCGAATCAACTCTCGATTTTTCACTGCCTCGACAATCGGAGTCTTGTGCTGTGAAGCTTGGAAGCCGACAGTAGCCACACCGGATCTGCATACTGGAGTGTCGAATCATTTGTGGAAGGCTCTTGCTTGCTTGAGTTTTCGCAAGACAACGCGGGTGGCGATGCCTTGAACTCCTTGAACCTTTTGACCCTCAACCCCGCAGCTCTCGCTCGTAGGCTTTGCCTTTCACCGATCATATGGTGTCGTTTACTCTGCATCCCTGAGACCAGCGACAGCACCCCGGCTTCCAGAAACAATCGGCGACCTCAGCTTGCGCCAAACTCAGTCGTGCCTTCTCCAGGGGATGCGGTTTCGAACGTGTTCATGAACAGTCGTTGTTACAAGGTTCCATAGGCAATCTGAAAAGGTGCTTACCCTTGGTATTTCCAAGCGCCAGGAGAAATCGCATAGGTCCGACATTGTATTTCAACATCCGTTGCACTTCCGTCGAAGCTTGATGTTACAATGTTATGGGAGACCTGACACGGGGCAGAGCTGTGGCGTTGCAGATGGAAGAGTTGATCGCTCACAGGCACGGCATGTGTTTTTCAAGGTCTGACTGACGATCGGATTTCATGGTACTCATGGTCTCGATGCCCGGTTGCAAGGTCGTGCATTGCTCGCGGATGGAAGACGGCAGCTCGGCCAAGCTTGATTTAACGGTGCAGTGTCAACAATCCTGATTGAAGCCCTCTAGGCATGTGGCATTCTGCAAAAATGTCCACTTTACATGCCATCACAGCACTGCCGAGGAGAGCTCCTGTGTGTTTCAGCCCCAGTTCGTTAGATTTGGGTTTTTTGCAGTTGCACTTGCAGGTTTAGCCACGACGTTCGTGCAGATCAGACTCGCGCATGAATGCAGCAGGGCGGAGTTTTGAGATCTTCTCCAGATGCTCAGAGCTGTTGAAGTTCACACGACGTTTTACAGGCCTGAACGCTTTCGGTTCTAATTTCACTTCCCGGCGTTGCTCGTCACCGTTTGTCCAGTGGTTATCTGTGCGCACTTTTTCTTCAAGGTTTGGCCCATTCCCCGCTTCTACCAGCATCTGGAGGAGCTGCCGAGGGCCCAGCGGCCGAAAGTCTCACGCACATCTAATTCACCCCCGCGTGGGCTTCGGGCTGTAACGTTGTCAGACTTGTCAGTGAAGGCCGAGTAAGTGCATGACCACAGCAAGAGTGTTCAAGGGTTTGCGTTGATTTGTAGGAAGAGTGAGGCATGATGCGAATATAGATGGTGGTGGTTTGCACTGCCAGACTCATAATCGTAGGAACGGGCATAGTCACATCACTGGGAGCAGAAGCGATGCAGAAATCAGATATACCTGTGTAGAGCCTCAAGCCATCACATCGTCATCATCATCGGCATCGTTATGGCGATGGTCGTCGAAATCCGACCGTGATTAATATTCGTGAATTTTCACTTTTCTGAGCATCATTCGCCATCATCCGCGAAAAAACGACATTGTCCATGACGACTACAAGGGCAAGGGCAAGTGCAGCACAGCAGCGTCTGCTACAGCATCATTGTCCGTATTGCCTGTTCAACATACACATGACAGTAGTCGAAAGAAAACACGATGAAAGAACGGGGCGTGCATCGAATGGACAGGCTTTAAACACCAGCGATGCAAGGCAGCGAGTGTTGTAGCTCCAGTCTGCAATTGTGCACCAGTGTCAACGTCGTTGTTTACCAACCCTACCCGGGGACAGGTCAATAGGACGAAACATGGAAGCAATCTACGCAACCCTGAAATTTCTTGCTAAACTTGCCACTGCAGGCGAGACCACTACCAGCAGCGTTGTGATCAAAAGCGCAAGGGCCCTCGGAGTTTTACTCGTCTGCTCATCGCAAGCTCATGGCGATGGACGTGGAAATCAAATATTTCACGCTAACTCCGCAGTAGAAGAAGGCACAGAACCCTCCCATTCACAAGGCAGTGCCACTGCAACACGCGAGTCTCAGCAGTGCAAAGCCGCCACGGTGTCCAACGCGTTGAAAGCACTGCAGTGGCACCGCTGTTTAAGGACTTGGTTTGCCACTGGATGCCCATCGGGGCGTTTCGATGGCATGGGAGGTGCAGCCCAGCCACATGATTGTTTGGGCATGTTCGGCCCATTCCGGCAACATGCCTAGATGACATTATAAAGTTTTAGACACAAGGCGTTGATCTAACCAGCGTTTGCACAAGAAGCGAGTCTGGGAGGAGCAGGCGTGTGTTTATGACATACACGCTCTGCCTGAGGACGCGGTCTCTTCCCCCACGCGCCTGGAACCGCAGAGGTGCGAAGTAGCCCAAAGCGAATTGCCAATACGCGCTGAGAAGGGATGCCTTAGCCGTGGATTTCTGAGAGGCGGTCTGAGAACGGCGACGTGTCGTCCGACGAATCAGATGTCGCTGACTAGCCAGTCAAAATTGCTTCGAGCGAACACTCTCCATCGCCGCTGTTAAAGCAGGCGTCCTCGCCCCGGTCATCTTTTTGGTGTCCCTTAGGCTTTGCTTAGGCAGAAGTCATGAGCACGTTGAGGTCAAATCTCCGTGATGCAGTGCCGTTAGAGGCCAAAGAGGCAGCTGATAGCCGTAGCACATGTGACAGTAGCTTACCTGTAGTCTTTCAGTTTTCGCAGGCATACACAGGAGTTCCACAAAGATCCATCCAGCCCAACCAAGCCTCTTGCGACCGGAAAGAAGAGCAGCACTGACTGTCAAGAAGCTTAGAGATGCGGCTGATTGGCTGTCACAGCGTCCATACCACAAATGGAGAGAGGGCCGCGGCCTCATGATCAGTCGATCGACCTGTGTTCGTGTCAACTGCCGTGCATGCCATAAACCTTGCATCAGCCATGCTGATTCATGTCTCTGCTCGAGTTTTTTACAGATTGTATCCGAGCTTCTTCTTCAGGATTTGACACTGATTGAGACCGGTACATGCACGGGGCGTGGCAGTGAATACCCTAGCCGCACCAACGAAGCTACGAGTATTTATCGGATGAGGGATAGGACGCAATCTCTTCTACCTGAGGACGGTGGGCTGGAGTCCATCCACCAACAAAGTTGGAACCTTTCTTCTTCTCGAAATCAGGTTGGTCAGACGGTGAATGAGCACATCTCTTGAGACTTTGTTCGCTTGCATTACATGTGAGCCTCCTTTGTTTGACACTATGGACGAACATGTGCTTTGTTTACAGGCCATGCGGGTGCAAGGCACTGTCAAGTCACTTCATGACTGGAAACCATGCACCCAGAACTCAGGCCATCGATCTCCGGCTCATCAACAGTCGATCTCGCAGCACCGGCCCGACTTTACTCTTAAGTGTTGTGTGTGCATGCATCGTGAATTTGCTTTTGTAAAAACATGCGCACTCATTCTTGGAACCACAATTGTTGATAAATGCACGCGATCTGTACTGGACACACCGCAATGGCCTGTCGGGACGGAAACCCTTAGGAACTCGAGAGCTTGTTCACGTTTACTGTTGGTGTCTTCGGGTTCCGGGTCCCGAAGGTTGTTCATTCTTGTTCGCCAGTGTCTCAATATCGCAGCTGATGCCATGACCAACATCGCGCTCTCATGAGACTATGATAAGATGCAGGAGTGCAGAAGGTATCGGAGTTTGCATCGTTGGTCCGCAGCTGAAACGAGGTACATTTCGCAAAGGTAAAAATGATTTTCGGACGGATCTTCGCAATCGATTATCTAGGGTCTCCGAAATCTCACGTCCGAGTTTACCATGACAGGCACCGCCGCGGATGCAGCTGCAATCAGGGGGTGCATGAACACGCGGACATCTTGCTGGCTTGATTGGCGCAGAAGGCTCAAAAAGGCGGGCTAGGGAGCTGACACAGGTTGTGGAGAAATTCCCCTGCAGCCCATCCACCTTTTCATTCAGTTCCATTGTTGGGAAACAGAGGGGGGAAGATGAAGAGTCCGTGCACTCCCGCCCTGCCTTGGTGCACAAGCGTACGCACGTGGACCCTACCTGTGCACGTGTGCTGACAGAATGCCTATTATCTGTAGTAACAGCAATATTGCAGCCTCGGTGGCTTTCCTGTGATTAAGCTGTTTTGTCTCGGTCAGGTATCGAGACTTGTTGGCGCCTTTGTGGGGCTGGAAGCTTTTGAGCAGGGTTTGGCTTTCAGGGCTGCTGGTGCTCTTTTCGCCGGTTGCAGGGCTGCTTTGCAGACTATCGGCCTGCTTTAGAGACTTTCCTGTTGAGATGAAGATGTATGGTGAACAGGATGATGGTCTTGATGAGGATGCCCGTCACGATGCCGTGTTTGACAATCATTCCTGTGCATGGTTTTCAGGTGGCAGCCGGTGCAACTGCTCGCAGCACGTGGGCAAAAAAGCCGAGGGTGGTGCCGCGTGTGTTAAGGGCGAGCAAGCGGCTAGTAGTCGTGTACATCTTAGGAACTCGGCTCTGTGCTGCACATTGATATTATAGGGGTCGGTAACAGCAGACGCGAAGCAGACGGCACCAAATCCGCAGCCTCCTGTTGTACCCCTGTGTCCAGCAGCGAATCCTCAGTCAGTTTGCATGGCACCGACTCCAGCCTCCAACATTGGTGCGCACAACTATACGAGAAGAGACTTCTCCGCTTTAAGAGCAAATCTGCATATGTTTCAAGTGAGGGCTTGGTTCTCTTTACAGCAGAATGTGACGTGATTTGTAGCTGGCAGGGTCATGTTCGTTCCCGGCAATGTCGCCGGCACATCAGGCTACGGACAGCAGCGCCAACTGCAAGCACAAATGCTCGTATTGCCACGATCCTTTCGAGTCCAAGAACAAGCGTCCCGCCTTGCAGTTGAGTGAGCCAAGCTTCCGGCTTGGGCTGATGTAGCACACCCGTTCAAACTCTCCGATGAGCTGAATATCCTGTGGGCTTGTAAATTTGGGTTGGTTTCGACTTTGGGGAGTGGTGCTTTCTTAAGCCGAGGCTCTTCACCCACCTGCGGAACTCCGACTGCTCGATCCAAGCCGCCGCTGATGGTTTGAAGATCACCAAGAAGCAGGAGAGGTATGTATTGGGAGTTTGGAAGTCCCTTTCAGCCGCTGTTGTAACATTTCCTCATCGACATGGGCGCAGCAGCCTGCGACGAATCCTACGTTACTCCAGAACCAACGCACCAAAAATGCTCAATCGTGGTCATCGTGTGCAAGCCGAGGGCTGCTTTGAACATTCCGATCTTTTCCCTTTGCCCTTAATTGTGTCGTCAGTGCATAAGCACCTCGCGAAAGGAACGAGTCGCTCTCATCCTTGGGGTGGTCGGAAACCAAGCCACAGCACAGCGATTGTTCAGGTATTGTTTCTGAAAAACGTGGGAAGGTTCCACACTGCAAGAAAGCATGTCCAGAAGAAAAACCTCGCAATACAATTGCATGCACAACAGTGAGGCCTGTGCCGACTGGAGGGCACTGCTCTGGCGTGCCCTGGATGCTGCGCGTGGGGAGGGAGTCTCATCTTATGCTGCCTCAGACGGGCCGTCAGGATCCCGGCTGCCTTTGCGCTGAGACATGGGGCGATTGAAGCAGAGATGTATATATTGAGGCCCGGAGCTGCTTTTGCATCAGATCGGCACGGTGGCGATCAGGACATGCCCCAGCCCAAGCGAAGCAAAGTGCCAGGGACCGGTCAAATCCCACCATATGCGGTGCAGGACTTGCCAAAGGCTTGTGATGTGCTGAGCTTAACGACGGAAGTGGTGTCGGAGGAGGATTGCCATGCTGTCCGTCAACATCTGCTCCAAAGAGATGCTGCAAGATTCTGCAGGTGTTTGGTTTAGTTCGAGGCTAATAACACTTCTAAAGACTCCGAAGCCTGGCAGGACTTGAGCCACACCAGTGAGCCCCACGTTTTTCAAAACCCTTTCTAGGCGAACCATGCCTGGACCTTTATTCCGAGTCCAGGAGCGGCAGGCGTGGTGTGACAAGGCCAATGCAGCCCTGCCCGAGGACTACAAACTCCCGCCCTTCCCGGGTCCCCTTCTGCTACTGCGACGAAGCAGGGTGCAGTAGTAGCGCGATAATTCTTGTCATAGTTGCAACATCTCCTCTTGTGGTTTTGCGCTTCCACTTCCTCAACGGCCGGGCCCAAACTCACAGCTTGTCCGAAGCTATTCATAACCACGGCTAGCTGTGCCTGATCAAGTGTGCAGGACATGCGCATTTTCGGCCGCTCTGGCCCAATGCCTCCAGACTGGCATGCTGAGAGGCGGTTTCGGGCTTGGGAGAATGTGGGAGCATGCTGCCACGATGGTTCAACTGTGTGAATGCAGGGGCATCGTTCGAAGATACTTTGCATGTCTCTTGCCGATGCGGCTGCTGTTGGTGACGCCCTCAGCATTTTGCACCGAGCTACATCCTTCCTCCTAGCACCCAAGTCAAAAGATTCTTCATCCCAAACCATCATCTTCTGCTGGGATCCCACAAGGTCAACGGCGACGTGGATTCGGAGGATCCGGAAGTCGAGTCGGTGAAGGATCCCCGCAATGCGCGCTCACAGCAAAAGGCTTTGCTTTGCGAGACTTGTTGGAGTGGGTGCAAGTGACGACACGCATGCAGGATGGTCCAGAAAGCGGCTACAGCGCATTCCCGGCAATCGCAGCGAGACAACAGCACGCATCTTGATACCAAGGAGGTGCAGTCACACAGGTCCTAAAGCCATCAGACTCAACCGCAACAAAGTTTGAGGCATCCGTCTTTCCTGTAAATATGCACCTTCATCTCATCCAGGAGGCAGTGAATCGACACCCTGGAGCTGCAGGCAAAAAAGAGCCATCAAGCTGGTTGGGGCGACAGCACAGACGGCGAGAATTTGTTGGGCAACTTCTTCCGTTTGAAGGCGTGGCCCTGCATTGCCAAAGCCACTGAAGCAGACGAAAGTGCTCAGCAATGCTGCAGGAGATCCTACGCAAGATGCAAGGCACGAGAAGCTCGCAGCTAGTGCCAGATTGCAGGCAGAGTCAGAGTTCTAATTGAGGCGAGCATCTTTTTCATAACTTCTCGGAGCCACGGCCTTGGCATGCGGCTGTCCCACCCTGTCGTTTTCAGCAGTTGTCACTCACGGGTTGATTTAGCGACCGAATGCAAGCACAGTGAGCTCAAGCGCTCCTCGGTTTCAGATGTCGCTAGATGCAGTATCAAAGCTTCCTGTCAAGCAGTGCTTGGAGTGACCAAGTCTTCCAAGGCTGATACTGCAGCAAGACTATTCGTGTGCCTGCGTCGACCTGGACGCTTCGTACGCTTCGTGCTGTGGCCAAGGCTCCCGCTCAAGCCCGGCGACACGATTGCCAGACGCTTCGTGTACCGCTGCCGTGCTATGGAAGCTCGCCACAGTAAAGCTTCGGTTTGCTTTCGTTTTTTGGGTGACGGCCATCAGCGAACCGGTTCAGATTGGAAGTTGTCAAGAGTTGAGAAAGCACATCTTTCACAATAAGCAACACAGACAGGACTCTCGAGTCGTCGTCAAAACCTGCCCATGAACCATCAGAAGCCGTGCACAACTTGCCAGCCAAGCAAACATAGCATGAAATGAAATGCCAGCAATGCTCGGCCAGACACATGTCGACACCTTTATGTGCAATCAAATCTGCAGCTGCAAAAGCATTGCCCATAAGTTGACCTTCAGGCCTCTTGCATGACCACTGCCGCAATCTGTTCGACCTTTCGCAGAGCACGCACTGACAGGTGGATCCAGCAACTGGCGTAGCTGGTTTTCATGCGTCTGCAGACAGCCTGGTGACCTGCCGGAACAGTCTCAGACTGCAAGGTGATGAAGATAAATCACGAGATGTGTGTTGCAAGGTTTCACATTGTTGCTTGCCCAGCTTTCAGTTTAGCTTGCGTTTCCACGACACTGTCCATGGTCGTTCCAGTGCCGATGTTTCTCCAAGGTAAGAGGCCAGCTCCGCGCAATGTCTGGCTTGGCCGTTGCCCTGCAACATGGTCTATTGCCAGATGCTTGACCGACAGCCTTAAAGTTTGGATGCCGCTGAGTCCTTGAGCTTTCACAGGCTGCCTGTTGTCTCTGAACAAGTAGCAGCATGATCACAGCACGGTACCAAACTGCGTGCGACAAATCTGGAAGCTGGGGCGGAGTCTTGAGTCTGCGGATCGTTGCATCCAGAGCGCGCGGTGTTGGATGGGCTCACGGCACATGGCGTCGGGTTTGGTGGCAGCACATAAATCTTGAACTTATGGTAGACTCCTCAGGACCGATACTTGGACGTCGCCTTCAGCGAGGATCAGCTTCTTCCGGTTCCCCGACTCCCGACAGGCACGGAATTTCAGACAGAATGTATTTACAGATGCTTGGTTGCATTGAGATGGCAAGATGAAACCAGATGAAAGACGGCGATAAGAAGTGCAATCCCTGAAACCCCAAAGCTTGTTCAAGCCCAAGAGTTTACCACGATCAGGAAAAGACTTTCACCACCTCCTTCAGCCGTTCTTCAAGTGCGAGGAAGCAGCAAAGTTCCGCCGGAAGGCGGGGCCATGGACAAGAAAGACGCTATTTGCTTGCTTGCGTTCTGAACTATACCTTGCGTGTTGGCAGGTTGAAGACAGGATTGCAGAGGTCGTTCTCAGTGGCACATTTGAGAAATGGTTCCAGGACGAGTTGGCTCTGCCCTTAGAGGAGAAGTAGGTCGCAGTGTTCAAGCATGACCCTTGCTCCGCTCGCAGCAGCTTTTCCCGACTTGTCCTTTTGTAAGAGGCTGTAACTGTAACACCGAAGGTTCTCTCTGCGAAATCTGCAGGGTATTCCCAATGGCCCATGAGGAAGTAGGGCCCCGCGCTCATGGGGCTCCCTCCCTGGGCTATCTTAATCCCGAGGCTCTAAGGACACACGAAGCACCGGACCCTAAACCGCTCAACTTCCTCTATCCGTCGCGATGAGACTGTCAAGGTTCCCAGCACTGCTAATCTGGCACTACTCGGTCCACCTGGGCAGACTCTTCCGAGAGAGAAGGCAGCTCGGAGTTCGGGGTGCAGGGTTTTTGACTTGGCAGTTTTCGTTGCGGTTAAAGCTACGATGCTAGTGTACCCCTGCCACTTCCAGGGCATTGACGCCTTAGAAAGTGTAAGTTCGAGGTTGAAAAAATGTTGGACATGTGTTGACAGCGGATGCGAGGCGCCGGCTGCGCAGCTCGGCATCTTTGGTTGCGGCAGCTTCGATCGCCTGCATAGCCTCTTGCAACACCCTCATCGCAGGGCATGCTGCAGGGAGCGATTGCCAAGGTACACAGAAGTCCTTCGTTTACTACGTGAAGCTGAAAAAAGTGGGAGGTGGCCGCCGTGTTCAAAGGACCTTTGGCTGCAGGTGTTTTCTTCCTGCACTTGTGAATCTACTCCTGCGGTGTCTTGCAGGGCGGCACCCGTAGAATGCATGGATTCTTCACGCCCATTGCACGGTACAGGGCGGGGATCTGTCAGGGCCAAGCCGCAGGAAGAGCACTCGAATTGGAAACTTTCGCTGCCAGGGCAGGGAAAAGGTCATCAAAGATTCCACTCTAGCAGAACACGGAGGCCACAAAGTCTTCTGCTACAGGTATGTCTGTCATCCCAGACGCGCGTCGTCACTACACAATCAGGTGCCGGTGGTTCTTTCAGCGTGGGCTCGATGCCAGATGGTCTGGATGTGCTGACCTTGGCTGCCACGCATGACTGTGTGACTGTGTCGAAATGTTCAGTCGTTGACAGTTGTGAAGCATTGAGGCTCCGAATGGAAACCGTTTGTTCCCAGAGTTAGCGAAATGCGCTTTCCAGCTGGAACGGGTTCTGCGTCCAGACCGCAGAAGCAGTACTATCGTCCGGATCCCAGTGGGCTTCAAGGGAAGTGCCGGTCCTGTTGCTGTAAATCCGCATTCGCAGCTTTATGCTGCAAAAGCTTGTGGTCTTAGCTTGAGTCTTGTGTAATTACTCTTGTTGCTTTTATGGTGTTCGTCGGTTCGATTTCTTCCAACAGAAGGAGAAGCAGCAGCAACCGCAGAGTGGTAGCAGTGGTCGTCGTCGGAGTAGTAGTATTTGTTGTTGTAACAGCAGCAATGGCAGTACTCGTAGCAGTAGTGGTCGCACGTGTGGCTTTGGGATTGTCGAATTCTCGGCAGCAGTTCACGTGCTTGAATACACTAGCATTGCCTCTTGTTATGTGCTTAGCGTTACATCACCAACGAACATATGTCTCCATCCAAGCTCTTCCTGATCCTGTTGTGTTACAGCCCCGAAAGACATGCCAGCAGGCCATCAACAAGCGAGCACAGTTCGTGCCACACCTCGACTCCGGCGCTGGTGCAGGAAGTCGTTTGAGAACTTCATACATGTCTATCGAAGGTGTGCAGCGATATTTTTGTTGTTCCTTGGAAAGATCGCTTGTAACTTGCCAGGTTGAGACTTGTGAAGGGAGTGCGTGCACTCACTTGCGACGGTTTTACCTCTCGAGACCGACGCTGAGCCCTTTACGATTTTGCAGCAAAACATGTCTGTACGCCGTGCTGCCTTGCTGTCAGTTGGCAGCGGAGCTGACCGCTCCGGCGAGACATGGCCCTGGATGCTTCGCTGGATGAGTTTCTTGTGGAAACGCTTGCCAGAATCCCTGCTGAGATGTCCAGCGGGAGCGGTGGCAGATCTGAAGGACCCGTGGAAAGCACACTCCCGCGACCGGAGACGCCGGAGCCTTGGTGGATATGCTGTAATGTGACAGCGAAAGCTTTACCGGTAACAATGGTGGCTGGCGCTGGGACCTCTGCGGCGGCGGGGACTTTACGGATCCGCGCTGACAAGACGGCAGACACCTGGAACGCGGTGCTTTCCTCGCGAAGACCTCAAAACCAATGGCGATGACGACGCAACACGTACTTCACGGAGACCGTCCACGTTGGAAGATGCCTCCCGAGGCGTGCGCTCTCAAGACCGGGGACGTGGATGGAAGGAGGCCGTGAACGAGACGATTTTGGCGTTTTGCAACAGGTACCAGAGGGCCGAGAAATCGCTCTTGCCGATCGGCATTAACGTGACCGCAATGCACAGTATGACCGTGAGTCGCGCGGGTCGATGCTATTGGACGGGATGCGGCTCACCACGGAGCAGCTCATGTTGGTGGCTACTGGGCAGAGCTTGCAGCTCGATGCCATCCGCGATGCTGCGCAGCCGCAGTACCCAGAACATCGCCCAACACCCACCGTGGCCTACAGTCGGGGAGTTTGACAGCAGTCATGGCGGGCGATCGGCACCAAAACGAGTAGGAGGAGGAACTCGTTCCCGAAGCCGGCGACGAGAGCCTGTAGGCCGTCATAAAGGAGGTGGCTGGTTGCCTTACGGTCACAGCACTGCAACGCCTATGAACAGGAAGGCCACTGGCAAGGAGATGCGATCTGTCCCGTTTCTTCCAAGGGCTGCAAAGGCGCCGGCAAGAGCAGCAAGGACGACAGGAAATGCCAAAAGAAAGGTGCAGCGAAGAAAGGACCTTCAGGAGTTCGCTTCACGACTTTCATGACCAACTTTATGGGTCCCAGCCAGGAGGTTTTGCTTTGTCAGCCCGGTGACTTTGGTGGTTACGCCGTTTTGGACACAGCATGCCAAAGGATTTTGTGTAGCGAACGTTGGCTTGCAAAGCACCGCGAACAGCTAGGGAAGCACGAGCTCGATGCAAAGGTCATCCGCGGGTCCTAAGGTTTCAGTTCGGCACCGGCCCCGCTCAGGTGATCAAGAAGCGCGTGTGCTTCCCAGTCTGCCTAGATTCCTAGATACCGTCGACACATGCGTGCTCTGCGGTGCCTCCGTGATGGATTCCCATAGTGATATCCCTCCTGAGCTTGGCCATGTTGTCAAAAAAGTTGCAGGCGGTCCTCGACTTTTGTAGGACTCCTAGGAATGTTGCCTATCTTGGTTTGTTCAACGTAGAGTTCCCCATCTTCAAGATCAACGGTCATGTGTGCATCTCCCTGAACCATTTCCCCAAGGGCTTGAGCGGCCGCACTGCCTGCTCTGCAGCGATGCGCATCGCAAAGGCCATTGGTTGCGCCTTGCTCAGTGTGAGTGCTCCGCTCCTTCCGTGTCTGCTGAACGGACTGCTGCGGTGCAAGCGGAAGCTGATCGTGCGCAGCACACGCTGCAGAACCTCGACTCGGTCATTAGGACCAAGTCCAGTCAACCTGAATTGAAACGTGCTCTCGAAGCTCAGAAGCGCCAGAGGGAAGCTTCGGAACCCCTGGTACCTTTTCTTGAAGTGTTGCACCTGCCGCGACGCCGGCAGAATGCTAGGCTGCATCGTCACGGTTATCATATCCCTGCTTAGCAACGCGCCGCCCGCGCTGAGATTTTATAGGCGGTTGAACCCCTAGAGCCCTTGCTTTTGGTGTGTCCCGTAGCTTCCCCGCACTGCCTCGCGTCTTCTTTTGATGTGCTCTTAACATTCTGCACCTGCCAGTTACCATTTGGTGCTGCCAGATGACATCGCAACAACCATTTCCCCAAGGGCCACTTCGCGGAAGGCCATGAGCAGCATTCTGGATCAAAGCAAACCGGACGCAGAGCTCGCCAAGCCCTCCGTCGCCCGCAACACCGTCGCCTCAGCGTGGCGAACGGTGATCGCATACAGTATGAGGCCGAGATGCACAAGACGGAGCGGCTTGGCTTGCGGAAGAGATCATGGTTGTCGCGCCAGGCCCTGCACCGTGCTGGACGGACATCATGATCCGGGCGATGCAGCAGCTGTGGGTGCGCCCAGCACACATGCTGGCAAAGAGCGGCAATCGCCACGGCAGCTGCCAAAAGTGCAAACTCCCGTCTTCACCGTTGCCGCGGCCATAAACCACACTCGGCCAGGACGATCTTTTGCTATGGGGGTTGGTTGTCCAAGCGGACACGACGACTTTCTCGGGGAGCCGTTCCGTGACTGGTTTGAAGTCCACGCCGAAGCTGGATCTGGATAGGAGCTCCCGATGACAATTTGGAGTAGTTCATGGAGGACCAGAACCCAACAAGGAGTGCGAGGGCAAAACTCGCGAAGACGAGCCACTTCCGAACGAGGAGGACGAGGAGCCGCTCGTGGAGTTTGACGAGGAGTCTTCTCGAAGATCAACCTTCTCGAAGTCTCCGCGGACAAAGCCGTGATCACCAACGAGGCCGGCAACTGCAGGTTCGTCCAAGACCTGTCTCGAGACGATTGGGCCGCGAGGCTTGGAAGGATATCCTGGACGAGAGGCCACTTCGCGATCACACGCAAGAAGACTTTCAACCTCACAGCCACCGACCCTGTGCCGGAAAAGGTGGGACAACTTGTTCCATGGCCTTGAAAACATACAGGCAGCCTGGACCCCGCAGAGCCGGCGTTACCCCCAGGACATCGCTTTCACACACCGTGGAGCCGCTCTTGGCGTCCGAGAACATGGCCCAGAGAGACTAGGGACCTCCAGCGCTTCTTCGAAGCGATCACCTACCTCAATGGCCTCGTGCACCAGGACCTCGAGCTCCACGGGGACAGCACCTTCGTGACGCACACCGACTCCAGCTTCGCCAACGCAGAGCTCAAAGGCCAGTTTGGCGTTTGCAACGCCGCAGACGAAGGCGCCGAGCGCGCCCTCTTTGCCAATGTCTGCCTCAGCGAGATCATGTTTGGCGAAGCCCGCTTCACGAACGTACGATACAGTCGCAGCATACAGCAGAGGATACGACCAAAGGACTTTAGATGGGTTCCCACTGAACATATGGTGGCCGACGGCCCTGCCGTGTCTACCACCCTGCAACCGGTTGAATCAGACTTGCCAGCTGCATGGAAAGACCTGCAATTGTGTTTCCTACCGAAACCACATAAACAGCCCTCCACGGCATCCGCCCTACGACCGATTGGGCTGCTGCGGCCTGACGGGAAGGCATTTGCAGGCTATGTCAAGAATCTCCTACTTGAACAGGCAGGCCCAAGTCTTGCACACTCACCCCAATACGCATACCTCCCTATGCGAGACACAACTGACGCTCTTGCCAGGGTTCACACCTGTGTCCAAACCATCAAAGCAGAGCTTCGTGCGCTTGGAGGTGACAGATTCACGGTGCGCCAGAGGAAGGAGTCGGAAGGAGGAAGGTCAACCCACGCAAGAAGCGGGAGGCTGCTTGCTATCCGTGGATCTAAGCCAGGCATTTGACAGGGTCAACAGGTCGAAGCTTGACAGAGCCCTGGCAGCACACGAGGTGGATGCCGATGTGCGCTCCACGGTTGCCGCCATCCACGACGATGCAGCATACCAGGTGCATGACCGATTTCAACAAACAGGAGTAGCCACCAGTCAAGGGATACGCCAGGGCTGCCGGCTTGCTCCGGCCTTATGGGCGGTGCTTTCATCTCAGGTTCTTAGAGATATAGCCGGCCCAACACAAGACCTTTTCACCCTGCCCATAACACTATTTGCAGATGACCACCTTGCGCACTGGGTCCTTCGGACCGTGGAGGATGCCAGACAAATGGAGGAGTTTATCATCAAACTCTTTAAAACTTTGGCGTCATATGGGCTGAAGGTGAACCCAGAAAAATCCAGTTTGGTCATCCGAGTCCAGGGCACACAGCTTCGCAAATTCATCCGTAGCCGAACGGTGCATGTTAAGCAGCAGCCACACTGGAGACTTCAGGATGGAGAGACGGAACATCTTATTCCCATGTGCGAGACTATCACCTACTTAGGCACAAAGCTCTCCCTCAAGGAAGGTTCGGATCCCACACTGGACTTCAGACTCGCGGAAGCGGCATCCAAGGTCACCGCGCTCCGGAAGAGCATCCGAAGCCGCAAGAGCCTCTCCAGGCCACATCGAGTTCGTATCTGGCAAGCTTGTGTGGTTAGCAGTGCTATGTACGGTTTACTGACCACACAGTTTAATGGACACATGGTGGCAAGGTTGAGGGCATGGTTTCATAGACAGTTGAGACGTTACAGAGAGCGGCAACCAATCCCACCAGCGCCGTCCTCATAGAGACACAGACCAGAGGGGAATTCCCGTGTCCCACATGTGGTCTCTATTACCCCACTAAGAAGGCCCTGAGGCAGCACCAGGCACTGAGACACGGCCGGATCCAAGCGGACAAGGTCGCCATGGAATATCTCCCTGAAGATCACTCCATAGGAGGCATGCCACAATGCAGACACTGCAAGCAGAAGTTCTACAATTGGCAATCGCTAAAGGGACATATCACTCTTAATGTCTGTGGATGGCATCACACACCCCCCGAAGCCTCTGCCCCGGAAGAACACCAACGAACCACAGACACTACGCCAGAACATCCACACACGCAGACTGCAGAGGATCTGTGTCCTCGTCCCCAGCCAGAACAGCCTGCGTCCATAGAAGCATGTGTCTCCGCCCCAGATGACGCAACCCACTCCCAGCCACTGTTACGTCGGGATGAGGTTCTGCAACACCTTCATAGCTATGACGGTATACTCACACAGGCGGAGCTGCATAAGACCGCCCTGAGACAGCACTGTGGTTTCTGCGGTAGATGGATAGCTGATGCTGGCATGATTAAAACTCACATTCTGCGTACTCATGCTCACCTTGCCAGTCTTATCAATGCAGATCTTCATCAAGCTTGTGCACAATATAAACATCTGCTCAAGCGTGATCAGCAATGTGACTGGTGCCAGCGTAAGGTGCATGGAGCGGAGAGACACAGCTCACAATGCCCTGTGCTCTTTCAGCTGCTACCGGCAAAGGCACAACGACAGGCGGGCTCCACGTCGTCGAGCCTCCCCCTTCGTACTGTTGGTGCCAGGTCTGACTCGCCTGCACCAACATCCCTATCATGCCATGGGGTCCCGTTTCGAGAAAGAACACGAAGCTCCGATCCGCCTCCAGCATTGCGAGTTGATGCTCGTGTCTGGCTGTCGCCCGGATCAGGAGGCGAAATATTTTCCTCGCTGACTCGTCGTCGAGCTGATCCAGATCCATCCAGAATTCGTCCTCCTCTTCCTGTTCCCGGCTGCGGTTCGGCTGCAGCTGAGGATGCTTTCCTTGACCCTATCCTGAGCCTTTGCGAAACTTGCTGGGCTGGTTCTGTGATGCTCTGGACCTCTGCCCCTGGCCCTGTCGCTGAGGCGTGGGTACCGATGCTAGCTGTGAGCTGAGGCCCCAAACCGTCGCCAGCTGCTGCTCCGGTGTGGTTTCCATGGGTGTGGCATTCATGTCGGAAGCACAGCTGTAATAGGGGCAAACACTTCTTCCTGTGTGCTTGGGCAGACTTCTGAGAATGAACGTTGCACCATAGGCATGGCCGCCCCCAACACAAGCCTTAAGCAGGACCTCTGACTCCGCAAATTGCGCAGCTATCTGATGCTGAGGTTCATGCTTGTATTTGATGTGCCGGCGCCAGGCCTGTATGTCTTGCACTGGATCCCTGCACAGCAGACAGTGATGCTTAGCGACAGATGCCATATCCTTCACCTGTGTGCGGATCAACAAGGCAGGAGGCAATGCACACCTGAGGTTGCGGTAGAGGCATAGGCCATGCTGTGGGCAGCGGTAGACCCGGCGACGCGGAGACCGCCTGTCATTGAGCCTGTGCGAGCAGCAGCTGGACAAGTACCGGACATTGTGAGCTGTGCCGTTCTGCCCCGTGTACAGTGCGTTGACACCAGTCACAGGGGTGACCACTTTTGAGGAGGTGTTTAAAAGGGGCACAGGCTTTGTGAAGTCCTAAGGATGTGTGTTTTGATCATGCCAGCTTCAGCGATCCATCTACCACAAAAACCGCAATGCTGACTGAGGTAAGCTTTGTGCAGGTCTGCTTGCGTGATGATGCCCTCGTGGGTATGGAGATGCTGCAGTGTCTCATCTTGTTGCAGGAGTGGCCTGTCAAGGTTTCTGTTAGCAGAGGCGGAGTCCCGCTCATCTGCCGGCTGCGGAAGCTCTTTGGGAAGGGGATCAGGTGAATTGTCTGGCGCTGTGCTGATTTGTTCCTCCCCTGTGACGGAGCAGTTCTCAGGTTCGGGCCGGGCAGAGGGAGGTGGGTTCTGAACTTGTTTGTACCAGCCGCATACGCTAAGCGTAATGTGTCTCTTGAGAGACTGGCAGTTAGTTGTATAACTTCAGCTTGCAATGCCTGCACTGTGGCATGCCTCCTACAGAGTGGTCTTCAGGCCTGTATTCCATCGAGACCTTGTCTGCCTGGATCTGTCCGTGCCGCAGCGCCTGATGTGCCTTCTTTGTGGGGTAGTAGAGCCCACATGTGTGACGTGGGTGCTCACCTCTGTGCTGGGATTCAACCATGACAGCACTAGTGGGGTGTGTGGCCGCCTGTTGCAGAGCAGCTCGCCGGTTTCCTAGAAGTAAGTCCACGACCCCGGAGCCGCGAATAGCCGAATCCCCTTGCTCATTCTTCAAGAGATCAAGTTTCTGCTCGACGCGGGCAATCAGAGCACTGATGGGACCCTGGAGTCCATACATGTCTCTAAGCTCGCCATTAATGCCATGGTGACATGTGCTGGCATGTTGACGACGGCACGCAGTTGGCGATGAAACCAAGCTCTAAGCTTGGCTACCATGTGTCCGTTGAATTGCGTAGTTATGAGGCCATACATGGCGCTGCTGACAACACAGGCTTGTCAAATTCTAACCCGCCGATGTACCTTGCGGCTGCGGATGCTTTTTCGGAGGGATGAAACCTTAAAACCAGCTTCAGCTAACCTAAAGTCAAGGGCGGGATCGGAGCCTTCCTTTCGGGACAGTTTGGTGCCAAGGTAGGTGATGGTTTCATGTATGGGAATGAGGTGCTCAGTGTCCCCATCTTGAAGCTTCCAGTGAGGCTGCTGCTTAATCAGAACGGCGCGGCTCCGTACGAACCTGCCTCCTTCGTGACGTGACCGGACTCCTTGCGCTGGCGAATGGTAAATCGGTCTCCTCCAAGTGCCCGAAGTTCCGCCTTGATTGCCTGTACACAAGTGTGTACACGAGCTAGAGCATCAGTCGTATCACGCATTGGAAGATATGCGTACTGTGGAGTCTGGGCGAGACTCGGACCTGCTTGTTCGAGGAGGAGGTTCTTGACAAAGCCCGCATATGCCTTTCCATCAGGTCTCAAGAGTCCGATCGAACGCAAAGCCGTGGCCGTGGATGGTTGCTTATGTGGTTTTGGCAAAAAACACAATTGCGGGTCTTTCCACGAGGCTGGTAGCATGGAATCCACCTTCTGCATGGTGGCTGATACAGCAGCGAGAGCCGGTGCTATCACTGTCGCGCAGGCCTTCCAGGCTGTGGCCGGAGCGGAGTCCGCAGGCACGGCCTTGCCAATGGGAGTGCACTTCAGCTGGTCGCTCCACCTCAGGTGCAAAAAGCTCCGTCGGGGTGTCGAAGCATGATGCCTGGCCTAGGTTTCCACGGCATGAGGTTCTCGACCGCTCCGTAGAGCCGTTTGGTGTTGTGTGCCTGCGCAGCTGTTTCCGCTTGTTGCAGGTGTCCTAGCATTACAGCGCGTTGATGTTGTAGGTGATACTGCTTGCTGTTTCTGCCCGCCTTCAAGAACATGACAACCCTTTTCCAGGTCCGGATGACTCCTGCCGCATCAAAAGGCTTACACCTTCGCAGGTCTTTGCGTCTCTGCCACATGTGGGAGACTTGGGATCAGGGTGGGTGATGGCAGCTCTCCACGCCTGAAAGATGGCCCTTTGGTACGTGCGCGACTGGTCTTTGTGATTGTGCGTTCCGTGCAGCTCCTCAAAGTGGTCTCCATGGCGCGCGACGTACGTCCTCTTGACAGCTCTCATGGCTTCCTGCCAACCCTCTGCCGCCAGAAGGAGCGCAGAGCCTTTCGCCGCAACCTTGCGCAGTCCTTCCTTTGAGAACTGTGCCTCAGCATCTACGGCGTCCAAGTAGGCGTCCGCCGCGCTTTGGACCTCCTTAGCAAGCTGCGTGGAGTGCGCGGAGAAGATCTGGGCAACCGCACTGATGACGGCTTGATTGACCGCTTCGACCGTAGTCGTCCTGGCCCCGAGAGTTCTTTGAACCTGAGCAGCTAAGCCCTGAATTCTCGGGTCCTGTTTGCGATAGGCATTGTCAAGGTCCTTGGTCGAGTACTCGAGTGTTGGCTGGATGGATGTTTTGGGCAAATGTAAGTGTCGGATGACACGCAGGCTAGTAGCGGCCAGCGCGTGATGTGTCATTTCCTTCCACGCGCCAAACGGTGCGGGCTGCTTCTGGACCTGTCTAGCTCGCTGGTCTGCACTCGGTGGCCGGACCATAAGGAAGTCAATCTGGGAATTACCTGTGCACGTGTAGTTTGTGCATGGATCCTTCATTCTCCAGGTGTTGAGAACAACAAGATCGTTGTCCTGGACGAACCGGGTCAGTGTGTTAGGGTCAAGCGCTTGATGATACTCCGAGCAGTGAAGTGAAGACTATGACCTATGAGGAGGGGCACATGCTGTGCTTCGGAGTTGAAGTCCCCCGCCCAGAATGAGCGTGTCTCGTTTAGCCATGCCGTTTATGGCTGCAGTGCATTTGTCCAGCAAGTTCTGGCGACGCTGCTTGTTTTGTTCGGGCTCATCGGTGTGAACCCAAACATGCTGGTAAATGTTGAGGGTTTCGATCGCAGCCTTATCATGGCACACCTTGACCCTGAGGACCCGGACCCGGCCTGGAATGATGTCCTGATGCCGGAGAGAGGCGTCATACCTCGGGTGTATGAGTGTGAGTACTCCCTCGCCTCGCTTGGTAGCTGAGCCGACGGCCATCCATTTGTCAACCTGAAATGCACTGGAGGACGTGCGGTGTGTCTCCTGTAGGAAGATAAAGTCATACTGCAGTCCTTCTCCGCCTAGAAAAGCCTTGATTTCTCCCCAAAGGAAGCCGCTCAGGCTGTTGACATTAATGGAGAGGACTCTTAGCCGCTGAGTATTCCCCTCTATGCCTGCATTGGGGTCTGCGCTGTCGACGATGGGTAGGCATGGTAGGAATGGCAGAGTGGAGACCCAGCTGGCTGCCATGTACACGTTGGCCTCTATACATAGTGTATCCCTGCGGATGCTGCATGCTACGTCTTTGTGCCTGACGAAGCTGCGTTTATGTCCACTGGTTACTGGTTGCCATGGCATGTGCGGCTTGGGCAGCCTTAGCCGCCGGCGCTGTTATCCCGCCTTGTGGAGTCTTCCCCGCCTTGCGTGGATGTGTGGTACCTGATGGGTTGGGTCCCCCCTGCCAGGACAGGAACCCTCACCCCCTCCGTCAGCGCTGTGGACTGTGCTAGCAAGATCAGCACACGGAGCCCGGACTTGGGACCGGGCAAGGTCAGCTGATTTGATGTTGAGCTCGCTGTCGTTGTGAGCTGAGTGACCTCAGTATGTTGTGACGCTTTAGGTTGCTGCTTTGTGTGAGGTGGTGCTGCATGCCACCCTTGACTCGAGTGTGGCCTGAGCAGCGGTAGGACATGTTGGAGGACGTTGCGGCGCCACCTCGTGTGTAGTACCCCTCCAGTGCCGCGTTTTCGGCGGTATGGCCGCCTTCTTGCGCAGCTTTGTCGGATTCGCCATCGACGGGCTTCTAGTAACTCAAGAAAGACTATGCCCGTACTGTAGTAGCAGTTTTTCGGAGATGACCCGTCGATGGCAGAAGTCCACAGGATCAGCGCTCGTGCGTGTTTTGCCACATCCGAGGAGCAGTCCTGGTCAGGAAGCGGAGGTCCGCAGTTGTTGTTGTGAATCCGGCAGCTCAGAAGGCTGGCTGACTGGGTGTCGCGGCGCTGCCGCATTTGCGAGTTGCCTGAGGATCTCAAGACATGCAATCCCCCTTCGCCAGTCCATCATCTCATAGAGGTGAACCGACTGTGTCATTGGCAGCATCAGTCGGTGCAGCGTCCTCGCTGCCTGCACTACGGTAGGTTGGTATGGATTTTGGCGATTAAGAGCCATCCGGCACTCCACACACGTCCCCAAAGCTTCCTCGCTGCCTCGGCCCTCCACCGATCTCGGTGCGGCAATGGCCGCCAGCAAGCTGGGAATTTCGTTCCCTACAGCACACTCCTGCGACATGTCATGAAAAGTGTCATGATGCTGTCGCAAGTGCTGTGCCTGGTAACCACGGAAGTCCTCTTCGCACGTCGGCATGGCTCGAAGTAACCGCACGAGCGTGGGGTAGTGAGTTTTGATATTATACACCATCAATGGAAAGATTGTCTTCTCAGTTGTCGTCCATTGGATGCTGTGAAGTTCCTGAGCGATCCTTGCCGTGAGCACCGGCACTATGTTGTCCGGTGGCTCATAGTGGTGCGGCAGCTCCTGGGTGGCATGTTGGCCGAGCCCCGGTGTCTCCAGCAACGTGGCGACCGTCCATGATGGTGTGATCGCTGCATGCTGTTGGTCTATTTGGGAATCCAGGGAGTCAGACTGGCTGGTAGTGATGGTCGTGAGGTGAGGGTGAGTCCCACCGGCTCTTCCACCTTCCCTGAACGGCCTCGTACCGACACTAGACCTGGTTGGCTGCGTAGTCCCCTGCTTCATCCTCACCAGCCATTGTTCCAGCAGTATCCACCAGCTGTCATCCCGTTGATGCCAGTCCTTGGAGTGGAGATCACATACTCCAGTGCCCTGTAGCTTCTCGCCCACCACTCCTCTGTGAGGGGGGCATGTTCTTAGAGGGACCAGCAGCTTGAGACGAATCGGCAGCGGCATCCTTCTGTGACCCGGACTGGGCCTGGGATTTGTCTGCTTCTCGTTCCCGTGCCTTTGAGGCGGCAGCCAGTCGTTTGTCGAGTAAGTCCCCCGTCGGTTGAGCGCCCGAGCTTCGTAGATGACTAGGCAGGCGCCTGCAGGATCGCTGTTGCGAGCTTGGGCTCGGCATGGTACTACTGGGTAGTTGGCAGCATGCTACGTGGAGAGAGAGGATGGGCCTAAAAGGCGGGATGTGGCAAGTCGCAGGGTCACCCTGAGTGTCCGTGACTAGCCCATCGTCCTGGGCTCTGTGGTTTGGTTTCTTTTGTGCTCTGCGGTAACGAGACTTGAGGGCACACTCTGCAAATGGTGGTATCAGGGATGGCAACAGTGTCTGAAAGAGCGGCACTCTCAAGTGCCCGACTGTGGCCGTTCCGGTAGAATTGATGAATGCTCGACAGCAGTTAGCAAATGAAAACGCAGAGCTCTGACCGTTGGCCACCTTTTTCGCTCACGTCCCTTGTGGGACCGATGCACGGTTGACCTCGTCTCCGGCGCGGAGTCCGCAAGCCGGGGTCAGCACGGTTCAAGGCAGCCTGTACCGCGTCCTTTGAGGGTGTGGCATGTGCGGCCTGTCCGATGTAACTCGTTCCTCAGTGGTCCGGACAATCACCGCCATGATGTACCGTGACGACACCAGGCCGTCGACGCCTGTGGTGACATAGACATTGTTTTCGCTCCTGTAGATGCGGCAGCCTTCCTGTAAAGATTGATTTCAATGATGATGTCACAGTTAGACCTCATACCCGAGATCGTACCACGATGGTCGGAGGGTAAGCGGTCCACCATGTGGACGTCCGATCTTGTACCAGCTGCTCCGCCGGCCTTGAGTCCGTGAAGCAGGATGTTCTCCAGGTGGCGGGTGTAAGTACCGTGGTAAAGCACAGGTGGAAGATCACTGAGCTGCAGTTCTTGCTGGAATTTGGATTTGTCCACTTGCATGCTGTGTCCCTGCACCGTCCTGAGTTGCACCCTGCCATCGTCCACAGACTCTATCTCGCACCGTTGCTTGTCCGAGAGTCGGATCGCTCTCAGAACTTCCTCCTCCGTGATGCGTTTGGAGCGGAATTTCTGGGTACGAAGGACTTCGTCCAGGTAGAACAGAGCATCCGGCCTCAGATCGAGTCCCTCCCTCTGCCCAGAATGCCGCAAATACAGCTGACAGAGCCTTGGATCTGGCGTCGTGTATTCATCCGTGCAGTGTCCTCCTGTTCCAGACGGTGTCGTTTCTGCCTGATAGGCTGGGGAGCAGCTGGGCCTCTCGTTCGGTCAGTCACAGGCGCGGAGTGCTCCGAACTGCCAGCTGCAGTCTGCACCGGATGATGCACCTTTGCGCGAGTGGGTTCCGAAGCGGAGTCCGCCATTCGACGACTGGAGCTCGCAACCTCTGCCTCTTCGATCTCCTGCGCCGTTGGCCCAGTGACCATCGATGCGGAGACCGCAGATCGATGGTCTGAGCCGCTTGCCATAGCCTTTCTCGGCTTGGGTGGCAGCTCGATGAGTCGCGGCAGATGATGTGCTCGGAGCATCGGGCTGCTCCCTGTCCTGCTGTTGCCTCCGTCTTGTCGGGGCATTGCTTCGGACTCCTTCTGAGCTCTGGCCTTCGCTGCCGCTACTGCAGCCTGTCTGAGCAACAGCAGGTTGCCAGTCGGCTCTTCCTGGGAGCGCCTCAGCCTAGAGGGAAACTTCTTCTTCGCGCTGGGGCTCGGAGCCATGTGGCAGGCCTTAAGAGCTATGTGAATCTTCGTCCAATCTTTTGGCGTCCTGTGCCGTCGAGGTTGGAGGGGAGCGGTGGTCAGGTTAGTGGGTGATAGTCGCGGAGAAGGGTTGTCCCTGACGTGGCTATTGGTCTGAGGCAAGCTATTCAAAGTTCGCCGGTTAGGCAGGAGGGCCGCTGAAATCTGCTAGCAGCAGATGCAGTTTTGCAGTATGTGCAGATCAGTCTGGCTGATGTACGGGCAACGTCTAGGGACCCGACCGGGTGTGGAGTCCACATTCCCCGTCTGGACCTCAGGCGAATTGTGTCTCCAGTGAGAAGGCTTATCGTACTGTGGCACAAGCCTTACCTTCCACATTGACTGAACTGGGGAGTGGACAATCCTCCTTGTGTATGTCACCTGAGTTTGCAAACGATGCAACATGGCATGGCTTGCTGCTGAAAGTCGCAGCGAGACAGTCCCGATCGAACAAGAGATCTCTTTGCCTATCCATGTGCAAGTAGGTCGATTTTTCGATGACGGCACTTGTGCAAAAAACCTAAGCGCGGAGACCGGTGGCCAAGAGACTTGAGCACCAGCCTGGTGTATGCCTCGAAGGCACGTGCCGTGAGTGTGAGCCCACGTGCAGTTGGCAGTGGATCTGCGCTTGCTTGAGAATGAGCGTCCAGCCATTTGTTCCGCACCTGCTGACCTTACTGAGGATTATGCTGTCCTGAAATATCAGCGAGTCGTGCAAACAGGTGTGGGCTTCGTCCAAAGTCCCCTGTGATCAGCGCGGGCTGGTCCGGTGGACGAAAGGCAGAAACCATGTGGCTGTGAGCAATGTCCTGATTTAGCAATTCACCACCTCAATCCGCTGAAAGGAATCGTGTAAGCTGAGGTCCCGACTGGGAGTGGAGTCCACTCGCCCCCCATCCTGCATAGTGTCTCCACTGGCTCGTCCGCAGATTTGCTTGCAGAATACAAGATTCGCTGACAAGGCGACAAGAAGAAGAGTGAACAACCCCGGCGCCTCGACATGAGGAGCGTAGCTTGGCCGTCACCGGGTGTGGAGACCACTAACCCATCCTGTCCAACATGAACTGTTTGTAGGTCCAGGGCGTCCTGATAGTCCCTGATGCAATGGTGCTGATGGCAGGTATGCATGTCCAGGGTGGGGAGTGGAGTCCACTAGCCCAGTTACAGCATCGCTAGTCCAGGGAGTGCAGATCGAGGGTGCTCTCTGCCTCATGTTTCCTGATCTGTGGCTGGGTGCCTGGCCTTCTGTTTGTGTCCTGCTCAGTGGCTGGTGGGGCGAAAAGAGGGATCCAATAGAGTCCTTGTTAGGGTAGGTTGTCTTGTGTGTGTGTGTGTGCGTGCGCATGTGTGTTTGTGTGCCCTTGCTGCCTTTTTGCTCTTGTCTGGCAGGAGAGGACCAGTGTCTTCGCGTCTTGGCTGTGTCGTTTTAGGCAAGTGGTGGTTTGCAGATGGTGTCGTGTGCCGTGGAGCCATGCTAAGCTGCTAAGCTGCTAATCTAAGCAGTCTTTGGGCAGTGCGAAGTGGCTGAACCGTGCGGCGTCTTGCTAAACGGTGCAGAGCGAAGCGGAGCACATAAGTCGTCTCGGTGTTCGTTTCACAGCCGCAGCTACATATTTAGTTCTGCTAGCCTTCTGCTCGAGTTGCCTCCGAGGTGTTGTGTGTTAGGCTTCGGGCAGAAGTAGCTTGCATTTTTCCTGTGCCCACCGCCGCCCCATTCGCCTCCGGGAAGTTTGATGAGGTTCCATGCTAGACTCTCGGAACGAGAGTCTTAGTTTTCGATTGCGCATCCCTCGTAGAAAAACAAGAGTCAGAGGGCGCGTCGACTGCATGTTGTGTCACGGCAGTGTGGGCTGTCGGGTCGGGAATACCTGTGAGTTTAGAACAGAGAGACGATACTTGAATCTGTGCGGCTGAAGCACAATGGTCGTTGTATGTCGTTGTCTTACCGGTGTGTAAACCGGGAGCAGAGTGCAGGAGCCGCTCTATTTTCGATCTCCCGCCCGCCCTTGCCCGATCGAAAATCTGGGCAGGGGTCACCGTTTCTCAGCGAGCGGCTGATGAGAGGGGGGGGATACATTTGTGTCAGCGTGCGGCTGATGCATCGTTTGTCAGCTCCCCAGCTGATGTTGCATGTTGGCTAATCAAGTCTTTTAGCATCTGTTGGCCATGCGGTCAGCGTAGATTCTGGCTGTACTTACCACGACCTTTCAATCAAGAGAGCCTTGCACGCAGTTGCACTTGGGTTTTCGTCAAGGGTTGTGCCAGGGTTGCTTCTCTGGGACAGGGGTGCTTGTTGTGTTCAGGGTCCGGATTCGGTAGGATCCTGACAGTGATTCTCTTTGGCTTCTCTTGCCGATGCAGCTGCGGGCCGCCTCTGGTTCTGAGATGTTCTGAGCCTGTTCCTGCTGCAAACAGACTGGCGAGCTTCTTTGCTGACCTCACCGATCTGGAATTGTTTATTTCGGCGCACTTCCCTTCTGATGCTGGAGTGAGTCTCCTTCATGCGTGCTCTATTTTGAGCACTTTGGTGACATGTTGTGACACGTGTCTCGGAGCAGCGCAGGGCCGACGGGGGCGGGACCCACCACAACGAAGCCGTCCATGTTCCCTGTGTGTCGCGACCTTGCGGGTCGAACCGGAGGGAACCGGAGGAGCGAAAAGAGGGATCCGATAGAATCTTTGCTAGGGTAGTTTGTCTTGGGGTCGTTGCTCTTGTCTGGCGTGTGAGGACTCGTGTTGCAGGAGGGGCTCGTCTTTGCAGTGTCGTTTGCGGGAGTGGTGGCGTGCAGATGTTGTCGTGTGTCGCGAGGCAGGCTAGGCCAGGGAGTCTCTGGGGAGTGCGGGGCGCCTGGACAGTGCGGCATGTTCATACTTGCAGCTGTGTGTCTGAAGCACAGTGATTGTGGTTGTACCGGTGTGTAGACCGGGAGCAGCACGGGAGCCGCCCTGATTTTCGATCTCCCGCCCGCCCTTGCCTCCGGTTGTGTGCTTCCTGTGCCTCTGCACTCTGCACCAGCTGGTTTCGTTGTTGCCTGATTCCTGAGTCTGGACTGTTGGCCGTTCCCTGCAATGCTCTGGCAAGACGTGGCGGGATCGTTGAATTTCGTCTGCCTGGGCCTGTCAGTGCCCGCAGTCTGCAAGGTAAGACCTGCGGGGCTGTGTTCTCCTCCAATCTTGTTATGCAAGGAGGGCATGACAGCAGAGCGAGCAGCAAAGATGCGAAAACTCCAGTCCAGCGTCTCAGGGCGCATCCGAATGCAAAACAAATCTACCTAAAAGCGTCAAGGGGCCCCGGTTCACAGAGAACCTGTTAGGGCCGGAGGCACGTTCACCCCCTACGACAACGAGCAAAAAAAATTGCGCTTGAGCCGGGGGCTTGGCAGGGCCGTCGTTTTTTCCATTCAAGCGCATCTGCTGTGTCAGCTGTCTTGCGGGCGATCGTGACCTTGTCACCCCTCCTCCTCAGAGGAGGGTTCGCCGGTGGAAACTCAACTGCGCCCCGTAGAGCCCGGCAGTTGATGCCATGGCAGGGACATAAACGAGAAACCCCACTGAGCTGTGGGGATTTTACCTAAGAAGCAAACAGAGGAGCTGTACAAGTGATATATACAGGCATCTGTGACAGTGAGAGGAACCCTCGAGCACCGTCTTTAAAAGATTGATGCAGGCTCACTCAGGCAGCGGTGGCAGGTGGGGAGTGGAAACCACTAGCCCCCAGCAATCTCAGGGGTGCACACAACGTTTGTGTGCCAGCAGATAACAGTTGGTGACTATGGCTTGTTTGGTTGCAGCAGTGCCAGCGGTGGCTGCGACTTCATCATCATGAAGCATGTGGGAGTTCCACAGATCATCCGAATCCCCAGGAAAGTAGAAGGCTTGGTAATGGCCGGCCGTCACTACTTTTCCAATCTGCAACACCCCTCCACAGAGCCTATAGGGTATCTGACTGACAGTGCCAGCATGATCAGTGAAGACGGGAACGCTGATTTGTCGCTGGAGCTGGAACGTCTGGCGGGTCTTGCGGATGCCCCGTTCAGTGTGTATGAACCGGCTCACCAGCAGGATCAGAATCTCAGGTGGGCGTGTGAGTGCATGAACTATGTCTTGACTGTGCCACCTATTGACGGCCTCCTGAATCTGGAATGGCGGATGCATCCTGGAGCCTCATGTGTGGACAGGTGAATTGTTCATCTGTCACGTCGTATACTCCATCACCCAACTTGCGAGCCTCCCATCCTCCTTTGAGTGATTCACACTCCGTGCGTTGGCATAAATGCTGAAGGAATTCTGCTGCATCATGCTGGCGCGTGGGTCGTTGCCATCCAGTCCACATGAAAGTCCATGCTGAGTCTCTGGCTATGTTGGTGAGCCCGCTGGACCGTGCCGCCTGCATCAAAGCACCATTCAGCTCACGAGACCGTTTTGGGAGCATGCATGATGGAGCATGTGTACGGTGGCATTGGCATAGCAGAGATTATGAGGATTAGTCAGGGTCAGATTCTGTGCATTAGCCGTGCGCGATGCAGGATTCGCTACTCGCCATGAAAGGAGAGATCGCTGCTGGCTTTTCCCCAATTGCAAGATCTCGCTGTCTGTCCCCGGTGTCGATGCTGCGGAATGCGGAGACCGCTTATTACCACCTTCGATATTCTGCGTATTGGCAGGAGGCTGTCCCTGTGCAGTCAGAGCTCGTGTATCACCGACAATAGCCGTGGAAGGATGCGTAGGAGGGTTCGGACTCGGAGCAGGATGGGTGGGGTTACAGGTGATCGCAGAGCTCTGTCCCCTAAAATAGGCATTGAGACTGTGTTGTCCAGTCTCTCCCTGAAAAGCGGCAATCACGGGTGGCGGAGTCCGCATACCCTCAAAACTCTCCATCTCCAATGAATCAGTGCGAGGCGGAATCCGCTCATCGCTCAGATTTGCAGGTGCTCCAGCTCTTTTGCTAGTGCTGACTTTCCGACCCTTTCCCTTCTGAGGCGCATGCCGATGATCTTGCCTGCGCTGTTGTTGGCCAGGATGTCCAGGTCTTCGTAGATCTCCGCTGCGTTCTGGTGGATGGTGAGGGTGAGTAACATGACGATCACCTGTGCTTGAAGTTCGGGCTTGAGGGGCTTGAGGCTCTGAAACCTGTGAACGGTGCCATCCTTCGCGGTGAGCTTGAGCAGCCTGGCCACCGCTTTCTTCGCAGCTTCGTGGGTAAGATTGTCGCGACTGGAGGGGAGTGCCTTCTTCTGCTCGGGATTCCATTCCGTGTATGCCCACTGGAGCGGAGACCGCGTGATCCAGCCGGCCGTCTCCGCTGTTTGCCAGGCCTGCGTGTCCGTCTCGGTCTTCTCCAGCCGGGCCTGCCACTCCAGCACATGACCCCCCACAATGTGGCCCTCAGCGACTGCTTGATGTTGCCCAGCTCGTACTGTTGATGCCAGTTTTGACTGGCCTGCACCAACAGTCCCACCATCCCGTGGGGTCCCGTCTCCAGGAAGAACACGAAGCTGCGATCGGCTTCCAGCATCGCCATCTGATGTTCGTGCCTCGAAACCGCCTTGAGCAATACCCTGAGGATGCTCCTCATGGTGGCCTCGTCGAGGTGATCTATGTCCATCCAGAACTCGTCCTCCTCCTCTTGTTCTCTGGTGCGTTTCGGCTGTACTTGGGGGTTTTTTCCGTGACCCTTTCCTGAGCCCTTGCGAAACTTCGTTGGATGATTCTGGAAAGCTCTGGATCTTTGCCCCTGGTTCAGTCTCAGAGGTGTCGGCGTGGTGGCTAGCTGGGTGCTGAGTCCACAGACTGCCGCCAGTTGTTGCTCCGGCGGGATGTCTGTGGTCGTGGTAGTCATGCCGCAGGCACAGCTGTAGAAGAGGCAGGCACTTACCTCTGTGGGCTCGAGCAGATTTCTGGGAATGTACATTGCACCATATGCATGGTCGCTCTATGCAGGCTGCAAGCAGCACCTCGGAGGTCGCCAGTTGCATCGTGGCCTCATACTGCGGTTCATGTTTGGTTTTGATGTGCCTGCGCCAGGTTTGAATATCCGGAACAGATTCTCCACAGGGTAGGCAGTACTGCTTGGCCACCGACGCCATATCATGAAGAACACCATGATTGTCTTCGCGGTGCGGATTCGCTAGGCATTCGGCTATGCTGCGCTGAGTGTCTGGCATTGGCATGGGCCATGTTGCCGGAAGCGGGCACAATCAAGCAGTCCCTGCGGTCCACCCTGTGGGGCGTCATGCTGCTGGAATGGCAGGCACGGCTCGAAAAGATCGAGAAGTATCCACAAGCATTACAGACTGCGGAAACAGCCGGCTGGACATCGCGGTCTCCGCTCCAGTGGGCATACACGGAGTGGAACCCGGAACAGAAGAAGGCACTCCCACCCAGCAGAGGGACGCCAGAAAGAGCGGTGGCCAACCTGCTCAAAAACACGGCCAAGGACGGCATTGTGCACAGTTCCAGAGCCTGAAGCCTCTCAAGCCAGAGCTTCAGGCCGAAGTGGTCGTGATGCTCCTGACCCTCACCATCCACCAGAACGCAGCCGAGATCTACAAGGACCTGGACATTCTTGTTAACAACACTGCGCCTGACGGGAAAGGGTGGGCAAGACGGCGCTGGCGAAAGAGCTGGAGCGTCTGCACATCTGAGCGATGAGTGGGCTCCACCTCGCAAGATCAAGCCAGGCCAAGGACGGAGCGGGGGTCAGCGGCTTCCGACGCCCGAGATGAGGCCAGATCAGGGGTTGACTGTACAGAGCAGTCTCGCGACCTACTTTGGGGGTAAGAGCTCTAAGATTACCTCTGACACCCCCCCTGACTTGCACCTGTCGGATAAAGCTCGCATGAATTCTAAATCCAGTGGTGTTCATGCAGCTCTTAATGACAAGGGGACTCCTCCTGTAGATGATCAGGAATCGGATCGAGGAAGCTTGCGGCCTCCGCCTTCCTCTGACAAGGCATCCGGTGCAGTCAAAGAGAGGCCACAACGGGCAACAACTGAGGAAAAAGTCGGCTGGTTCGCTACTGTCGTGGCGAGTCGCTGCTGATAGACCTAGGGAATCTAATGCACATTCCCGTGCCCTTGCAAACCCTCACAATCTTTGACACGCGAGTGCAGTACTGCATATGCTCCATCAGGCAAGCTCGGGTGATGGCCCCATCACTGGACTCGGTGCACTGAATGGTGCTCTTATGCAGGCCGTCAGATCCAGTGGAGCTACCAACATCGCCAGGGACTCAGCCTGGTCTTTGATGTGGCCTGGATGGCAGAGGCCGACTCGCCAACACGATGCAGCAGAGTTTCTTCAGCACGTATGCCAGAAGACTGACTGCGCAGCATTGCTGGGGGGATGGGAGGCTAGACGACCCAGGGCTGGAGCATACGAAATTATTGACGAGCAGTTCACCTGTCCGCACATCAGGCTCCTCTACACTGATCGGGGGATCCGCAAGACTCGACAGACCTTTCAGCTCCAAATCAATGCCCCGACCTTCACGGATCATGCAGGGTCTATTGGCAGTGTTCAATACCAGCTACACAGCGGGGTCCTTCACATAGGGAAGGTTGTAACGGCAGGCCACTACCAAGCCTTCTATATCCCCGGGGATGCCGCAGATCTGTGGGCGTCTCATATGATACACGATGACGGGAAGGCTGCAACCACAGGGACAGCAGCCACCAAGCAGGCAATCGTGACAAACTGTTACATGTTGGCCTACAAACGACATAATCTTCCTGATTGCGGTGGTTTCCACTCCCTACATAGCTGAAGCTGCCAATGTTTTACCGAGTGAGCGCATCGATTTTTAAAGGTGATGGTTGAGGTCTCCTCACATCTGCTTCAGATGCTGGCCTGCACTACTCTGTACAGTTCATTTTGCTTCGTAGGTTTATGTCCCAGCCATGACACTAGCTGTCGGGCTCTAAGGGGCGCAGCAAGCGTGCAATGGCAGTGATACGCCCAACTGTCGGGCTCTTAGGAGCACGGTTGGACGTCACCACACTGGCGGACCCTCTACGTGAGGGGTGACAAGGCTCACACTCGCCCGCATGACAACTGACTCAGTTGATGCGTTTGAATGAAAAAAGAACGACGGCCCTGCCAAGTTAGACTGGAGCTCACGGAGCCTGAACCAGTTCCTCCAGAACCCCGACCTGGTAGTGACCAAACAATTCCCAAAAGAAAATAATATAGTGTCAAGGATCGCCTGTAGCCTGCCAATTTGAGACTTGTGAAGGTCAGTGTGTGCATTCATGCCGACCGTCTACCTCTCGAGACGGCCGCGGAGCCGCTTAAGAGCTGCTGTGTCTTAGACTGCTGTCCGAGTTCCATCGTTGGGCTCAAAGTAAGAAGGCCATAAGCCGCAATTGTTTGCAGCTTGGCTTAATTCTTTATCGTCATCAAATGAGCAACAGTGTTAATTCATGCTATGAGTCAATCCACCCGTCAGCTGTGCAGGGCGTCTTCCTGGGTAGCTGAAGGGCTGCTGTTTATCAGGACAGGGTATCTCACTGATCGTGGGTCTTGGCGACTACTCCGGTGGCGAGCTTGCCGTGGAGGGCAACACGCATGACATCAGGCCAGCACTTGCGAAGAATTCAGCCAAGTTCAAACCGAAAGGTCGAATCTGTTCAGGTATAGGCCGCTCGAGTTCAATGGGTGGACGCAAAGACATTGGACACAGCCCTTTGTGGGAGAGCGCTTCTCCTTGGTGTGGTTCACACCTGCAGGCAGTATAGCCGTCAGGTAGCCTTTGGTTGAATGTGACGATCTTGGCTGCAATTCTTTCTTGATCTTGAGGCTGTGAAGCAAAACCTGGCCTTGAGCTGTTCGAGACTATTGCACGCGACTTGGCCGAAGCATTTGGGAGGATCTCTTCTGGGCGTGTGTCGACGCCTGGGCATGTCGAATGTTCGAGCCATTGAAAGTTGTTGCTTCGGTGTCGACCGGGTCATGTCACCATCAACTTCTAGTTTTGGAAAACATCATGGTGCGCTAAAGCTGATTTTTGTGTTTCCTTTACATTGAACTTTTAGCAGCACATAGATTTGCACTCTAAGCGAAAACCCCGCAGAGCAAAATCATAAAATAGTGCACCACGCATTGTCTTTTCAGTGGAGCTGGCTCCTCACATCGGCTTTGCCTTGCAACAGGATCTAGATGACTGGTGATCCTGAGGGCTCGCGGTGTTCAAAAATTTTGAACATGGTCATGGTCATATAACCAGCGGAATCGCAAGGTAGTGAGAGCATTCCTCCCACTGTGCCATCGTCGCTGTCCACACCTTCCGCATCATTTTGCCCCAGCCATAGTCAAGTGAGGATGGGGCGTGCAATGGCTGGGCTCACGTTTCATGTGTCACTTCGGAAGGCCTGGCTCCGTTGACCCGTCTTTACAATGGTTTGGAGATCCCACGCCTCGGCTTCGGCACTTGGCAACTTCAGGCCGAGCTGCGGGTCTTTGCACACACGTCGCGTAAAGCTGCTCACCTCTCTGCAGGCGGAGGGCTCGTCCCTTTCTTGTGCGACTTGGGATGCACCAAGCACTTTGTCTGACCTTCGGTGGCGCCACATGAATCGTCCAGGAGAAGGCCATAGTCATGGCCTTGGAAGCAGGCACGGATGTTTCGTCGGATGCCGCCACATTGAAGCTAGACCTTGTCGGAGGCTACCGCCTAATCGATACTGCATCCATCTACAAGAACGAGACGGCTGTAGGTCAAGCCCTGCGAGATTGGCCTGGAGGCTCAGGCACCTCAACACGACCACGTCACATTGCAGTGCCTACAGTGCCACATGCTCACGAGCATGCCAAGAACATGGTCGAACGTCAGAGAATCTGCTAGTGTCAGGTGTCTTTGTGTGCTCGAAGTGTTCGCCGTACGAAACCCGGCTGTCGGCACATATCTATATTGCTATGTTTCGTTTTGGATTGTTTCTAAATGCCAGATGCTTGAAGCATGAAGTCCAAGAGATAAAGAGAGACAGTCAAGGAAATGGGATACCAAAGAGCACGAGATGCCTGCTACAAGTCTCTTGAGCGGCTGGGTCAGTGGCCCAGGGTTTTATGATTTCAGTGTGGTCTTCCGTTTTCGGGCTTGGGTCTGGGATTTTGTTTGGATCGGTGCTCAATACCAAAACCAATCCGGCTGAACTGCTCCAGAGCCACATCTTGAAAGGTGCATCAGACGGTACTATTAGGGGTGCCCTAAGACTCCACCCTTGCTTGCCCGACCAAACCCAGCTTGTTTCAACCGTTCCACAAGTGTAGAATCGGGTTCTATTGCTTCCGTCGAACAATGGCTGGTGAGCCACGTCCGTTTGCTTGGATCGTTTCTGTGTTGCCGGCCTCTCCAGTGCTCGCTGCTTGACAGCTTCTTTCTCACATGATTGTAGGGTTGTTTTAGTGCAAGAGAGTGCCTGCCGTACTTTAGAGCAAGACCGCAGCGATCTTTGGCAAGGGCAGTGCCGAATCAATTCAGGTCGAGACTGCTTGGACTTGTACCTCATCCACTGGCCAGTCGCTAGACTATACTGGCATGACCTGCAATCGTGTGCAGAAGACGACCACGACGAGGATGACAACGACGACCACAATAATCACTGCTGCTGGCAGCGCTACTGCTGCTGCCATGTTCCTACGGCTATTTCCATTATTGCTACCACGACGACGACTCCGGAGACGACGATTACTGCGTTCTCCCGATCGGATCGGTGGTTCGGGAGGATACGGCGTTCAAGCCTGCTAGCACGCCTTAGAATGCCCATCAAGACGTCGAGTTTGTAAGCAGTTGCCTTGCAAGACTGTGCGGGGCTCGGTATTCGTTACCTGCCAGACCTAGCTTACTAGAGGGATGCGATGTGTGGCACTATGGCAATAGTGTTTGCATGCTGGTGTGCAGGCACACTGACGTGCTGCTGCTGCCAATGGTAGTTTTCCCGATGGTACACCTATAAGAGCTCTGGTTGAAAAACAATGGGTTCCACATTTTGGCTCCTCCATTCATCAGTTTGTTCTGCACTAAAGTTGAATAAACGCAGTTTTGGGATTTTTATGTCTGCCACTTCAGTACCCTTGATCACTATTAACCCAAAGAGTCTTGCAGCTTCTTCGCCAGCTCTGCTTACCGAGGGTTTTGGGCTACAGTGGGTTGCTTCCTTCTAGGCCCTCCAAGCGCCAGAACTTCGCTTTGACCGAGGCGCTGCCCAAGAAGCCGCATTCATCTCCAGAGCACCGCCGTGCTCGAATCGAGACTTGGAAAGCGCTGGAGGACCTCTACAGGCCGCTTCAATCCAGACGGTAGCCGTTCACCTCGAAACAGATGCCAAGCCAAGCTGTGTGTATTATCCTGCCGCTCTGCTTACCCAGCGTGCTGGCTTTACCCGCCTCAAGTCACACCTTCGGGACTAGGCAGGGCATCGTGCGAGCGATTGGCGTCAGCAACTTTACGGCCCAACATTTGCAGCAGCTGGAGGAGGCCCCAGGGGGCGTCGTAGGAAGGATTGGTTTCCGGTGTAGGTCTTAGGGAGGTAAATTTTTGTATAAGTGAATACCATCTGGAGATTTTCACTGGCGGAAGCACCGCAAGCAAAGTCCATTTCAATCTTATGTTTCATGCATTCTGTTGTACTTCGTGGTTCCCACACCTACCCAGACCCAAAACAGGAATGTATGTCAGATCCTTCTTTGAATGTCCGGGCACAGCATAACCTGTTTCCAGCCACGTGGATGACCGACAGCATCGCGCCATGTCTGCCATCGTGGTGCCGTGCGCTCTAGTCATTGACCCAGTTTAAGCACCTGCAGGATGGAGCGCAAGTGATGCCCATGGTGAATCAAATTGCACCTTGGCGGTGCTGGCTTTGGCGTTCGATTGAAATGCCTTCAGATGCGGACACATTGTCCGGTGTTCTTTGCTTTCCATTGTCAATAGTGGATGCACAAGCAGTAACAGAATTTAACTCGGACGTGGAGGAACAAGCCGTGGATACGTACACAAACAACTCCGTATATGTTGCGCTCTTAAACCTGCATGGCGATTTTTGCTGCGAAGTCATTGTTCAGAATGCAACTGAGGAAGTGCATCCTTTGTATATACCGAAGACGACCCTTGGCAGCAAAGTTGGCATGCGGTCCGCCCCTGCGAAGTTCCGGGACTGCCTTGGCCTGAGGACCATTCAGTTCTGTCGATCAAACAACATCGTGGTTGAGGCCGGTGCATGCCTTCGATCAGAAAATGCCACTCGTCCCTGTGCTGTGACAGGCATATGCCCCGCTCGGGGGTGGCCCTTCGAGCAACGTTGGTAAATCCACTGCGGGTGAAGTGGACGGCACAAAGCCGCCTATTCCGAAATGGTCTGCATATTGCAAGCCCATACACGTTCTAAGTTAGACCCGAAGCCTTCTTCTCAGATGTTGAGAAGGCGATAACAACCGTTGCGATCCGACCGCTGAGGCTTCTTCTGGGCCACCCCGAAATTGGCAAGATCGCCAGCGAAACCTGCCGGACTCCTGCTCAAGTCGTCTTGCGCTGGGCCTTGCAGCAGGTCCTGACCTCAGAGTCTACATCATCAGGATGAGTTTGGCTGTTCATCGCATTTCTCAGGGCAGCTCTTTTCAATTCTCCCACAGGACTTGCTTGTGATTCCTCGAAGCAGCAATGCTTCGCGAATCCGGGAGAATGCAGCCCTGTTTGACTTCGAATTGTCTGAAGATCAGCTTTGCCGAATGGAAGACGCTTGGTAATCTTCGACAGAATCGAGTACATTGTGGACACAGTTGTTGTTACATGAGATTGGCGATGACTTAGGATTTGGCCGTCGTTGGTGGACAGAAGTTCTGCTGGAATCCGTCAAGCATCGCGTAAAAGAGTTGCAGCGTTCATGGAAATGCCGTTTATATAGTCACCAGGACAGAGGTTCATAGCTTCGTCTCAAGCACGCGCCCCAACTCTTTGCTGATCTTTGCAATCATTTTACATTTTAAGCCGGCCTCGTGGGCAAGGCTCAAGGTGCGAGCTACAACATCTACCATTCTCAAAATCCTTACATGCTTCGAATGGTGTAATAGGGGATCGTATGGTTGATGCCTGAATACAAGGGCAAAAGGTTTGGGGTCATGCCTAATTTATTGGCGATAGCATGGTTGGTGCGATATCTGGGTAGTCTGTAGTGGTAGGATGTCGAACTGCTGGAAATAATCCTAAATTCTTGACCCTACATCCTAAATCTGAAACCCTACACTCGCCCTAAGCCTCAAATCCAAAAACCTTAAAACCTTAAATCCGACGACGACATCATCTTCGTCGTCCAGCCAAAGGCTCAGCAAACAAGGGTTGGGTGTTTAAGTATTAGGTTTGGGGTTTGATGCATAGAAAATGGCGTTAGGTCTAACGCATAAGAAATGGCGGTAGGAATAGTACAGGGGTGAACGTCTACAAAAGTGGCGGTAGGCTAGAGGTTTTATGCCTTCGCAATGGCGGTAGGCGGGACAAGAGGTTAGAAGAGAGAGAGTGAGAGACAGAGAAAAACTGCCATTGAAGCAGCTCCCTTGCAAGGCCCTGACGCAAAAGGGGACCTCCGCCACCACGCACCGGGGGGAGTTTTCTTGATGACACATACTTGTGCAGCCAAGATCGTGGGCACCTTCAGCACGTTCTCACCACATTGGAGAAGGAGCTGTCTACTGATGGACTATCGATCCATCCCTCCAAGACAGCTATCCTTTTCAGCAAAGCAGAAGGGGGCGGAGCTTTGAAATCGGGGGCACCACCGTCTCCTGCTCACCACAAAACACAGTCATCGCCACCTTGGGGTCGCCAGTTACCTGTGGCGACAACATCGCCACACTGACACCGGAGATGCAACGAAGAGGGAGACAGGCATTTGCCAAGCACAAAGCAATCCTCTTGGCTCGCACCAGCCTCACGCCCCGTACCGCGGCATACACAACCTTGGTGCGCAACGCCGTCGTTTACGCAGCAGAGAGCACCAACGCCTTCTGCGAGCCGCCAACTCACTGACGGAGGTTTGGGCGGACTATCTGGAACCTGTGGGGGCATATGGCAAGAGGAGGACCAGAGGTAAACGCGATGCTCACCTGTAAAAACTTGGAGTTCTGGCTAAGAGAACAGCAAAAACCACGCAAGCAGCGGGTAATGCACGCCGGGCGCTTCAATCCCGAAGGGGATGTCGAGCGTGCCCTTGAGGCCGTGGCAGGCACGAACTGGGGAACCGTGGCGCAGGACCGTGCCCGATGGCAGCAGCTGGGAGTAGATTTCGTTGCCAGGTTCGACGTACCGTGGGCAACCGGCAGACAAACAAGCATCCAAGACAACCTACGACCAAACTCGCGCAGACAGCCCCCACCACCGCAATGGAAGGCAGCAATTACCACAAGCCCGCTGGGGGGAGAGATGGGGTTGCGTGCACTCACCACATCCACCACCATTGGACAACACTCTCCATGCCGACGCCCTCACAGGCGGAATCCGCAAACAACCCAGCACCTTACCAGCACCAACAACATAGCTATCCGGGGGGTTTTGGGTGGCGCAAACATACAACAACACCTTGACTTCCCGCAGATGATAGAGAAAATCAATAGACAGTCTTGACTTGTGTTTTCATGCAGACAGCACATTTGCAACAACAGTATGCTTGACAATTCATGTTTCACTTCGAGTAAGCTGAGTGCAGCATCCAGCCCATGTGTCGCAGCCGGCTCAGCCAAGACCCTGCAAAAGCACTCCGCGGGGGGCGTGGAACATGGCCACTCCCGTGCGCAGAGTGTGCTCGGAGCCAGGCCATGAAGCTCCTAGACGGCGTCGTACCACGCCAACGCATGAAGGGGAAGCTGACCAAAGCACCCCTCCGCAAGATGCCGGGGAAGGTGCAGCACAACAAGCTGCAGACCCTCAAGCAGCGGGGGATGGATGCAGCACCTCGGACCCACACCCAGACTGCTGTCCACATTCAAGGAAACATCTCTACTGAGGGGCAGCTTGGGCTTTGTTGGCAGATCAGGAGCCGGCCCAGGCGACTGCGAAACAGTCTTGTGCACTCGCATGAGGCCGCCGTTAGCACCAACATATGCTACTGGCACCCCCGGGGCTGCCTTGAAGAACATTTCTGCTCTCAGTGATGCCACCTTTCTCTGAACTTGCAGCGCCTTGCCTTCAATGGCAGAGTCATCAGCCCCAACATCGGCCGACAGATCACCATTGACATCAATGGCTGGAGTTTGACCCGTAACAATGGAGGAATACATCTGATTCACGGCCTGGCACGCCGTCATCAATCGCTGTTGCTTCGGAGTTGGCAACTCGATTGGCCCAAGAGGGCCAGGTGCTTCTGAAGCTCCGGCGTTTCCTGCATGCACACGGGTCACAGCCGCAGCCACACTGTCCCCATGCTGCCGGAGCAGGTCAGCTTCACTCTGACCTGATTTCTTGCGACCAGCTGTAAGATGTAGACGCTCCGCTAGAAGTCTCTTCCGTGCGACTTCTGCCGGAGTCGAAGGAGTAAAATCTCGCGAAGCTGTGTGCCGAACACCGAAAAGAGTTTGGTACACCTTCCGACACCCGAAGCCGATTGCTTTGATGTTTCGTGTGCAAAGCAGGTCACAAATGACCGCTATCAAATTGCCCGACATTGCGTTTTTTCCGATGCGCGCTGTTTGTTGTTCAAAAGACATGTTTGCGCCCCAGGCGTGGTGCTTTTGTCTCACGAAACTGCAATTTTCCCAGGCGCTGCGCGCTTTTCCCGAAAGCATCGCGAAGGGTTCTTCCGTGCGGAGCCGGGTAGAGAAGTACATAGATGACACTCTATACTTACTTACTCACTTACTTGACTCTATACCTTACTTGACTCTATACTTGCTTAATATTTACTTACTTACTTGACTCTATACCTTACTTGACTCTATACTTACTTACTTACTTGACACTACTTACTTACTTACTTGACTCTATACCTTACTTGACTCTATGCTTGATGCTTGACTCTATGCTATGAACTTGAATTTGACTCTATGCCTCTATGACTTACTCTCTACATCTCGGTATCTAATCTCTCTTCTAAAGCCAGGGGTGGCACCGTCGTCATCCATCGGGAATGCAACCCTTCACAGGGATTGGCCTCCTCGAGCGCTCAAACGATAGGTAAAGTTGCACATTCTAGGCGCCCTGCGCAACCCTTCACAGGGATTGGCATGGTCGAGCGCCCAAACGCCAGGTAAAGTTACACATTTTTTAACTAAATAGGCGCGCGTCGCAACCCTTCACAGGGATTCACCTCCTCGGGCGCTCAAACGCAAGGTAAAGTTGCACATTTTAAGGTTCCCGCGCAACCCTTCACAGGGATTGGCCTCCTCGAGCGCCCAAACGCTAGGTAAAGTTGCACATTTTAGGGTTCCCGCGCAACCCCTCACAGGGATTGGCTTGGTCGAGCGCCCAAACGCTAGGTAAAGTGACACATTTTGCGGTGCCCGCGCAACTCTTCACAGGGATTGGCATGGTCGAGCGCCCAAACGCTAGGTGAAGTGCCACATTTTTTTTAACTTGACAGGCGCGCGGCGCAACCCTTCACATGGATTCGCTTCCTCGGGCGCTCAAACGCTAGGTAAAGTTACTACTTTTGATGTGCTTCGAGGCGCAATCTGCAACCCTTCACAGGGATTGGCTTGGTCAAGTGCACGAACTTGCAACCCTTCGCAGGGATTGGCATGATCGAGTGCGCGAACGCGAGGTAAAGTTGCTACTTTGAAGCGCTTTTAGGTGCATTGAGGTGCAATTTGCAACCCTTCACAGGGATTGGCATTTTGCAACCCTTCAGAGGGATTGGCATGGTCGAATGCACGAACGCTAGGTAAAGTTGCTACTTTTAATGTGCATTGAGATGAATTTCGCAACGCTTCACAAAGATTGGCGTTGTCGAGTGTTCGAACACGAGGTAAAGTTAACACTCTTGCTGCGCATGAAGATGTAGTAGTACTAGTAGTATTAGTAGATGGTAGTAATAATAATAATAGTAGTAGTAGCATAGTACCATGGCGTTGCCGCCACAGCAGCTGAATGGCCTGCGAGAGGGCTTTGGCGAGCACGGTGAAACCTGGCTCCGTGCGGAGCTTCGGGGACTAACTACCAGGCAGTTGTGTGGGCTTGCTGCCGCTGCAGGCGTGCCGCACCGCTCGTCCTAGCGCACTCTGTCCAAGCTGGAATTGGCACAAGCTCTATCATAGTGCATTGTCGAGGAGGAGGCTTCATGGGGAATCGATGTCGTTGATCATTGTCTGTGTCAATTTGTGTTGCAGTGAGGCGTCAGTGTCGTGGCCAGGTTAGATGTTTCGTGCTTTCACGTGAAGTTTTTGCTGTCAGGTCGATGTTGTTGCTGCGTCGGAGCAAAAGCTGCAGGAGCTGCGAAAGGGCTGTGCCGAGCACGGCGAAGCCTGGCTCCGCGACGAGCTCGGGAAGCGGACTCGCGATTAGTTGTGTGGTCGTGCCGCAGCGCTCGTCCCGGCGCACTCTGTCCAAACTGGAATTAGTATAAGCTCTATCATAGTGCATTGTCGAGGAGGAGGCTTCATGGGGAATCAATGTCGTTGATCATTGTCTGTGTCAATTTGTTTTCCAGTGAGGCGTCAGTGTCGTGGCCAAGTTAGATGTTTCGTGCTTTCACGTGAAGTTTTTGCTGTCAGGTCGATGCTGTTGCTGCGTCGGAGCAAAAGCTGCAGGAGCTGCGAGAGGG